TGGGGGGGGGGTGTTCCCCGCGGGCCTGCCGCCCGCTGTCGTGGCCCTGCCCGGCGCTGGGTCGGCGCGGGGTGGTGCTTGTTGGGTTTTATGTTGGTTGCGTTGGCGCCATGGTCAGATGCTCGTCCGCGGTAATTCTGGTCGAAAAAGCTCCCGCGTTCCAGCTGCGCTGTGTCGGGGCTGTGCTCGCCCGCTTCTCAGCGCTGGGGCTGTCGCCGATTCTTTGTGATGCACGCAGTCAGGCTGGGAGGCGATGCAACAGATAACAAAGGGGAAAGAAGCATTTAACCAGTTACCCAGAACGAATGCCATCCCCGGATAACTCCTATGCCTTCTGCAAAGGATGTGTAACTAGCTAAGAAATGTCCTTGTCATGATCTGCGTTTGTGTGCTCGATTGTGCCCAAGCCACAAAACTGAAACAGTGGGTGTCTAATCAGCAGCCTGGCATGTCCAGGGCTGGCATCTCTTAGCACTGTGAGGGTTGTTCTGTCCCTTTTCTTAATGTCTTGGGGGCTCTCCGCATGATGTTCATTGCTCAGAGGTCTGCTGGCGTGTGGGAACGCACAGCAAGAGCAACTGCAGGCTTCGTGCTGCAAACAGACCTCTGCCGTGTGTGCGTGCCCCATAGCAGAATCCGCATCTTTGAGTTGTGCGTGTGTGTTTACAGCTCATGGAGGACATTTAGTATCTGAAGGTGGGATTGAAAGCAGATGGCCTGCAGCAGAGCTACTGCAAGGTAGCTAGAAGAAAATGTTGAAGATAGCAGTATGTCTTCAGAGCTTTGCTAGAGTCCTGGCTTGTGGCTGTGACTGTTTTATCACTGCTTCTTTTTCCCTGAGGCCTTATCTAGGCTGGCAGTTGAAGATGCTAACTAACATATGTAGAAGAGCCTTAGTAGGGAAGGCTCAGTGTGTTTAACATGCTAATCTCATCAAGTTAAAACCACTTCCCTGTCCAGATAAACCGACATACTTTAGCATCGTTGGTCTAAAGTCATTGGATTAGGACTAATCTACGTAGAGACACTCAGGAAACGTAACTTCACACTTTTTAATTCCTTTGCTTTAAAGAGTGCAAGACCTTCAGCTGGCTGCTGTCATTCCGAGTGCCATGCAGTTCCCCTGTACTTGAGTCTGCTTTACTACTGTATGAGGGTATTCACATGAGGATTCAACGTGCTTGAATTACACTGAATTACACTATAATTACCCCTTAAGTTGTGCCCTTTTTCACCTTCTACACCGTCCCCACCTAGATAAGCCCTGAAATCACATCTGAAATCCAAGATCCAGAGGGAGTCAAGTTACGCCTCTGTTGGAAAGGGGTGTTTGTAACCGACACTGGCCGTAAAGGTGAAGTAATTTGCAAGTATTAACTGGAGTTCAGAATGCAGTTTGGCCATTAGTTCATTATCCTGTCTTCACTTCTCGAAGTTTGGTAACTGATTAGCCAACCCAAGTGAAAAAGACACTTTTTACCATATGGACATCTTGAAAGATAGTGGGGCTGTGTGTCCAGTCACTGAGAAGCACAGATAACAAGTAGTGTGTCAGATAAGGGTTGAAAGGGGACAGAGTTTTCAAAGAGCAGTGAATTGGTCAGCAGCACAAGATTTCTTTAGTTTAATGATCTTGTTACTTGCTCATGCCATAAAGCAGAGGAAGGCTTCTAGGTTAGTGGTATGTGGTGGTGGTTTTTTTTTTTTTTTTTTTTGTCTGGAAAGCCTGTGTAAGGCTACTCCAGAATCACTTTTAGGGATGTTTCGGCATAGTTACTGAGTACTAAGGAGAGGCAATTTTCATATAGGCAGTTTGACAATGATTGACATTTCAGTATCAGTCTGCATAACACCCACTACCTTTATTTTGCATTTAATCTGTCAGAAGTATTATAAAACAGAAGCACAGTACAAAAAGTAGGGGGATAGGGAAAGGAGATGTATACCTGTTATAGAAATGTATTGAACAACCCTAAATGCATGGTCACAATATACAGTTTTATTGTATATTGATTGTAACTACTTATTAAGCCATATGGTGTTATTCTCTAAGCAGAATGTACTGAGGTTGATAGTAAATACTATCAATTATTTGATAGTAAATATTATCAATTTATTAACATGCAGTTATTTCAGAAATTCCTGGATCAGATTTTGAGTTGTTTTGGTAAAATACATATTTATATATAGCTGATCAGAATAATGTGAAAAGCTTATCCTAATTTTTGATTGCTTGACTTTTGCAGCTTTCCTCTTTGGCAATTTACATGGCATTCTGCCTCTGTTTCTCAAAGAGCTGAGAAGCTGAGTTGTTTGAGTTAACTGTACATATGAATAAATAAGGCAGGGAGTTCTAAGGAAGGATTGGTTAGTACCAACTTGTCTTAAAATCCCTGGTAAAAAGACTTTTCTTTTCATAGCCAGGAGAGATAGTAACTATTTAATATAAATTGAAACATGAGACTTTCATATGCTGTAATCTCATGAGAGTATCTTCAAAGAAAATGTGATATTTTCCTATGCAACAATAAAATGAAGTTTATCACATTGAATCCTTTTCCTAAACCGTGCTGATCTCTTTGTTTTACTAGGACGAGAAGTATTTGGGATTGCTTCCTTTTAGGGAAGAACGAGAGTTCTATAAGTCAAGCTTGGATCAATTTGTTAATTGTTACTTTTATTAACTTGCTAAATGAATACTTGACCATGTTTGTATTAGAAAGTTTTGCTGCTTTAACTCAACTGGCACTTGGTTATACAAACAAATTCTATTGTTCTAAACTCTCTTACCCAGAAACATTCATGTCCTCAAAATGCCTGGTAACTGGTCAGGGGAAAAGACCTCATTTGTCTGAATTTTTGATTTTTGTATTATACGTGCACAGGCACGCTTTGCTCTCTCCCTTTCTCTCGTTCTTGCTCGCTCTCACTTGCTCTTTCTCTTATTCTCTCTCTCTGTCCCGGTCTTTCGCTCTCTCCCTCCCTTTTTCCCGGAGTACTTTGTTGCTTCTTTTTATGCCTCCTTTTCCTCGCTTGCTTAGACGAGATAGAACTACGTATAGAATGTGTGTGATTTGTTCTGGTACAAACGATGAATATATCTTAACTAAGTGTGCAGTCCAGAAGTTTAACATGCTAAAAATGCATCTGTTTTAGTTCCTGTCAATTTTAAATAGAATTATACCCTAAAAGGAAAGATGCACAGTACAGCTGGTCTTGAAACAACGCCCACCTGAGGCCTCTTGCTTTTTTTCCTTCCCCTTTGACAGGAATGCTACTTTAATGTAATTCAGAATAAGCACTGGATTTCTTCTCTTTATTTTGGGGTTCACACTTAACCCTATCAGTGTGACCTTAAGAGGAACAGGGTGAAGTTAAATCATGCTATTCACTATCTCTGTCACTATAAATGTATTGTTAAATATGAAAGCTAAAAACATTTTTTCAGTAGTGATGAATGTTCATTCTCTACATTAGAATCTCTTCACAAAATGCTAAGTTTTTAATTTAGTGACTTGCAAATGTTTTACAGATGGTAGAGAACCTATAGGGTTTCAATCAAGGTTTCCCTTAACATTCAAGCTGAACTGTCTCATTTATAAGCTACAAGCATAGAATGAAAATGGCTGGCATTTTTGTATCTCCTTAATAAAATTACTTGTTGCAGTTTATTTTTTAGCAATCTAGGAAATGAGTAGCCAGAAGCACGCCCCTAATGGGTGAAAGAAGCATTGGATCGTTTCTTCTGATCTGTACTCCTTATTCTGTAATATTTAGTAGTCCTGAATGAATTTTCCCTTAATGCGATTTTAATCTCTGCCATAAATGGGGGGCCATGTAGGCACAAAATCTGCGCGCTTAAACTCTGATAAATATTTTCTATTCTTTCAAACACCAGTCGCCTCTCAGAAGAAGGTTTAGAGCGGGACTTGGGTTGCTTGTGTACAAAAAGTATAAGCAGGAGAAGGAAGGGAAAAACTTAGACCTGACGATATAAATTCTTGCTCTGTACCTGCAACAGGTATTCTTAAGTGCCAGTTTTAAAGGTGGAGTCCACCTCTGTGCTAAAATGCCTTAGCACGCCCATTGTAATGCTCACCGTCTTTCCTACTGTCTTCCAGTGGTACAATACAGCTGGTGGCTTTTGATTTTTAGGATGACCTTTAGCTCTGTTTTACAGTGAAGAAAGGTGTTTTCTGGTGTGCAGGCGTGACAGATGTTCTGGGAACCTTTCTGAACGAGCTTTCTGTTGCGTGGCTGCCTGCGATTGGAGGGTCTAGACTCGGGTAACCACATTCACTCTTTAGTTCTGTGTTCCTAAAATTCATAGTTCATTTTAGGGTCTGCAGCCACTGTAAGTCACAAATAGAATACAGGAAGAACGATTAGTTTCTTTAGGTACCTGCACCACCCTTACCGTGATTTACGGTATGTAACAGTAGTTATGGTGGTCTGCATTTTGAAGGTTATTGCCAAGACGTATGCAGCCAAGATCCCTGACAGGCTTGCATGCCCCACACTGACTGGTTACTTACTGTTGTTACCGGTGCTAGATAAGCCTACAACAGGTATGTTGAAATGTGCTGCAGTCTCACTTTGACTTCTGTGAGACATATTGAAAGACTCATCTATTTCCAGTTTTACTGCAGTAGCAAATTTGCAGAAGAGGGAAGGAGGGGAGTTTTTGTGTGTGTGTGTGTGTGAGAGGAAGGGCTCCAGCTTCATTTCTGTCACTATTCATGCCATCTTGGATACAGATGTTTTGCACTATCTCTTCAGGAATATTAAGCATTAGTCTGTAAACAACTTGCTCTGTATCTTCAATTATCATTTCCAGTCCCTTGGAACAGCCATTTCTGTGAGTTCTGTGAGGAACTAATTAAAATTTGGGTTGCTTTTATGGGGGCACCAAATTCTGTTCTTTTCCTCTTTGTGTTTTCATTCTACATGGTAAGCCACAAAGGCAGTAATCCTAGTAGCAACTGAATTCTGGGCTGTTTAGGATTTTAGCCTGGTTTGCTGAGAAAACAAAGATTATGAAGCAACTGCTGAACCTATTGGTGACTTTTAATAAACTTTGATGGTTAAGAGCCCAAAATCTTTATGATCACTAGAAGTTTCATGTCAATAGCCTACGCTGTTCTTGTGAAGTGGCCTTTAATAATGTTGCCTCTGAAAGGACGGGTGAGTGCAGTGCTTATTAGATGCTAGAAAATGTCCTGGAAATGACCTGAAAACGGAGTGAGCAGTTAGGTGAGCACGCTTGCTCCTGAAACGAAGTTATTCAGTATGAGTAGGATGAGGGAGAACTAGGAGGTATTTCAGAAGGTCCTTACAGGATTGAAGATTGCATGATAATTAGGAGATGAAATCTACTGTAGATAAATGTGAATAAGGAAAAGCAATCCTAGCTTCACAGGTAAATGGTCAGCTCAGTGTCTACTGTTTTTCATTCCAGAGCAAGATCTTAGAGGTGTGATTAAAAAAAGATAAAAATCGCTCAGTAGTAGTCAAAAAGTGAACCAAGTGTTCAGAAGTAGTAGGAAAGGAGTACGGTACAAACTGGAAGTCATCATTGTGTCACTATGTAAATCTGGGGATCATCTGTGCCTTGAAGGATATGTGTAGTACTGACCTTGTTTTCAGGAGGATGAAGTGGTAGAGGGGAGGAAAAAATCGGAGACAATGAGAATGATCAGAGACATGTAACAACTTTTATGCAGGGAGTGAGTAAATAGTAGATGTCTTTTTCCGGAGGAGAGATTACACAAGGGAAGAGGTGATAGACTGGAGAGGATTTGTCTGCATGTCCCAGAACAAAAGCTAGTGGCCATCAAATGAAGTAGGGAGCCAGGTTCAAAACAAAAAAAAAAAGTAGAAGAGAGCTCAGTGTATGAGGCACAGATCTGTGGAATTCCTTTTTAAAGGAATGGATGTGGATGTGTAAAGTTTATGTGCATTCAAGGGAGACTTAAATATTTGAAGAAGATCCGCTGAGGGTGACTAAACAGTCAAACCACAGGAAATCCCTTGAGCTGAACATGATTGGAGGCCGGCTGGTATTTGGGAAAGTACATGCATACCTTTCTCTTGCTCTTCTGAAGCTGTGAGCTAGCAGCTACAGTCAGGGACCAGATGTTGGGCTAGCTGGTCTCGCGATCTGAGTCACTGCGGCAATTCTTACGTTCTTTCAGGAATTCACAAAGGTTACGTATGTTCTGAATTTCTCAAACGTGAAACAAATCAGTGGCAATTTGTTGTTCTTGGACATGCAATCATCCATGTGAGTAAGACAAATCTATAGAAAATTGCTCTTTTAGTTTCATTGCTTGTGATGCCAATTTTGGGACCTCTGTGCCTGTGTGAGGTGCATGGATATGTGGCAGCGGCTCCAGAGTCCAAGTGCTTGGCTGCCTGTGGGTAGTCAAACGTGTTTCTGGTATCAGGGAGTCAAACACTTGAAAATATATCTATGTGCCTCTGACTCATATGATGGCATATCCACCTGGAAGAAGGGCCTGGAGTAAAAAGGTATATGGGAGTGCAGTCGATACGCTGCCTTAAGGCCTGATACCGGTAGTCTTGCATGCTTCCTCTGTGAGAGTCAGCCCTGGTTTACTGGCTACACACTGTCAAGAGGGTTAGCTGTCACGTGTGGGCATGCCCTAGCATCTAGCCATTTCCATTTTTCTTCTGAGTCAGAGGTGGTGGGCTGCAAGTAATCATCTCACTGGCCAGTTAAATCTCCCTGAACCTGTCATATCTGCAGTCTTCAGGCCAAGAGTTTCACTTGCGTTTATTACTACTAAATTTTTTTCAAGTAATGGAGCCAGTTTTCCGTATTACTGTAACCGGGCACCTGAAGAGGAACTGTCGTTCCCTGCTGTAAAGGCGTTTACTAGATGGCCTGTATTTGTCATAGAAACTCTATCTCCTTGGCTTCTGGAGTGGTCTACCTTGCAGAGTGGCAAAAAAGTTCCTAGGAAGACAGTTGTAGTGAAGTGAAAATTAGAGCAGTCCTGGCCAGTCGAAGTGAAATCTGTGATTGTCTCAGAAGACTTTCACTCAAGCTATTACAATATTTAAGCAGAATGGAGCAGCTTTTTGGGTGGACATCTCTGTGTAGACTAGTACTTTGTCCACGTATTCTCTTATAGCCTTATTCTGAGGCAGTGCTGTAGTAGCAAAGAAAAGCTCAGCTGAACCACTTCCATTCTAACAGCCTACCTAGGATTTTATGGAAATGTACAACCTTTTTGTGGTGTGCCTTCTTCTTTGTGTATGAGGGGGAAAAGAGAGAGAGCTGCTTACTTTCTCTTCCCCCGTTTTTCATCAGTGCGTATCTTGCATAGTTATGGATGGTTTATGGATGGTTTTCTCAACTGTTCAGATTACGCGTCCTCTGCTTTCATAACAGAAGTCTAGATTCTCAGGAGGTGTAACTTCGATACAGCTTCTGTGCAGTCAGCTCTGTTTTTACATCAAGTAAGAATTTAGCTCGCTGCTTAGCCAAAGAAGAAACTCTTGCAAGTACTTACTTCCTCCCCACTATGCCCAGTCATGCTGTTGTAAAACTACTTTGCAAGAGAGTAACAGCAAAAAAGTGAGATGAGTTTAGAATTATTTAAGTGGATCTGTGCGCAATTCTTGACAGACTCACAGAAGGGATGCACTGGGTCTTGGTCTGTGAGACAACTGGAAATGTGAAATGTGCAGGTTAGTACATCTTTGCAATTTAAATACCTAAAATCTTGTTCTGGGAGGAGAAGGTTGGTCTATCCCTAAAGTAGACTGTTTTGGGGAACTGAAATCCCAAGACTCCTGAAACGGGATATAAAATAAAAGCAAACTTGTAAAATTTCAGTTATTTCACAAATACAAGAGTGACTTTTGGCTCAATGTATTTTAGAAATGCAATAAAAATACTTTGATCTCAAGTACCTAGGTGTGGTAGACAGTCATATGATCAATATTTATTTTATAATATCCACTTTTTTATTAGGTTGCCACTAATGGGATTATTGCAGTGAACGAACCGTCAAACGAAGAAAAATATCTTGGTCAATTCCCAGTCAGTTTTGGGGCTATTGCTCCCTTTATGGCTGATCTGGATACAACAGATGGACGTGGAAATGTGTATTATAGAGAAGATTCGTCCCCAGACGTTTTACAGCTTGCTTCAGACTATATCAAAAGAGGTTTTCCGGAGACCACGTTTGATCCTAGCAGTGTTGTGATTGTAACGTGGAAGCTTGTGGCTCCTTACCAGGCACCTGGAGAAGATGTTACTCGGAAAGAAAAGGTGAACGTTAAGCAGAGCTTTAACACGTGGTGGGCAGCAAGTTCAGCAGAAGTTTAACACTATAATCTATTATTCTGAAGGACTGAACTCCTTTATGTGTAAATAAATCTTGTACAGCTAAGAATGTATTCTTTTGTTGTTTGAAAGGATTTAGCAAGATGGAAGTTTCCAGAGTTTTTACTTGACTTTTATTTTATAGAATTTTAGTCATTTAGGAGAAAAAGCTGAAATATAAATAGGTGATTTCTTTGTATTGCCAAACAGTCCTTATTTTGAATCTGTTAGTTGTGATGTGGCAAGAACTGGAAATACTAGGATATCCTGCCCCACATCTGTGCAGTATAATCCAGATGGCTTGCACTGGATCTTGAGTCTTGTTCAACAGAGTCCTAAGTCATTTTATTTGGCATCAAACTGTCCAAAATGTGATAGGTATATGGACTAGTAGGAACTTTAATTATACTAAAGTATGAGCTCATTTTGGATGGAGGACATTGCATTCCCAAAAAGCTCATATATTGTAGCTACTATTTTGGTAGGGGCCTATGCATCTTTCTTGAATGCAGTTAGCTTATTTTTTGTATTACTTGCATTTCATTTTCCCTTTTTGAAACATGTTAGGTACCATCCTGCAGAGATTCCAGAACATGTGTAACTTTATGCACTGTAATAATCCCAGCTGATGAATCTACTCACAGTGTATGAATTTGAGAACATCACTGTTACTTAGCAGATCTTATTTTGCCTAATGTAATTTCTTGTGCCTGACTTGACACAGCAGCTTTGTTCACAGTAACGGTTCCACACTGGTAAACAGCTGATGTATGAGGTACTGTCTTGATGGCTCCCACAGTATGTAGGAGTGTTCCTACAGAGAACGACAGAGTTGCAGCAGCATAAAACTTGAACTTTTCTTTAAATAGTCTATTTTAATATACTCATATCAATTTTAAACATCTTTCTAATTAGTCTAGTACATCACTCTATTTTAAGGAGACTGTCTAGCACACCCTGCCTGTTATGGAATTTAGGATTGTTGTGATCTAGGCAGCCTCTATGGCTATTTTGTAACACCTTCAACTTATCTTTTAATATTTCTGCATATTTAAGCAAAAAATACCACAGTAAAATGTAAGCTTGCTTAATGTTGGTTTGTCTGAAAAGTTGACTGACCAGTCTATAAGTACATGATAGATTACCTCTATGGAAACTCAGATTTTGACTCTATAAAGTATCATCCTGTTGTCTGTCTTGACTCTTTTTCCATGAGTAAGTGGATTTTAAATTTTCTTCACAGAGAAACACATTCCAGGCTGTTTTAGCCTCTTCTGACTCCAGTTCCTATGCTATTTTCCTTTATCCAGAAGATAGTTTGCAGTTCTATAGTACATACTCCAAGAACGATGATGGAAAGTTTCCTGCTATGGTTGGCTTTAGTCAAGCCTCTACAAACTACTACTTTTGGGAAAAACCAGGTTCCTACAACATCATTGCTAATGATGAAGACACCATCAGAAACCTACAGAAGTATGCTTTTTTTGTTTGTTTAAACTCCCCAAGAAAACACCAAGAAGTTTCACGTTCTCTTTAATAGTTGCAGCATGAGACAATGGGAAATAACAAGATGCCGTTAGCAACTGCGTGAGAAATCACAGTCTGCCAGTGATAAATATACACCCTCTAAAAGAATATAAGGGCTTGCACCTACTTTGTCAGAAATCCATAGTCCTATTGTCACTGGTAGTGGCTGCTGTATTCTTAGCCCTTCTAAAAATTGGACCACTTATTTAGACCTTTAACTCTTAATACTTTTACCTGCGCAGTCTTTTCTGCAAAAATGTGGGCAGGAAGGAAAAGGAATAGATCAGAAAGTTCTAACAACTGTTAACAAGATCTTTGTGGCTCAAACGTCTCCTTTTGTTCCTATCTCTTTGGAGACAAGGAGGGTAGAAATTCTCCGGGAGGGTCTGGCTGTGGAAGGGAAATGCTGCCCAAACTGTCAGGGGTGTGTTGTAGCTTAATAAACTGTAGCTATGTAGTACTATGCAGAGAAAGATAATTCAGCAGTTTTGTCCTGGTGTTTCTCTATGGAGTATAACATTTTATGTGTAGGATGTAAATACCATGGAATTTTCACTTGACTGGTTTGATCTGAGATATGCTTCTCTTTGACAGAAGTAGCAATGCTGGGAAGCAAGGTGTCTGGGTGTTCGAAATTGGTAGCTCATCCGACAGTATTGTGCCTGCCAAGATCAGCAGCGTTCTGGAGAGCCTAGAGTCCAGTGAGCAAGACCAAGAGATGACTTCAAAACCGTTTACGTCTGGTTATGGCTCCACTGAAATAAGACTGGAACATGTAACCAGCACTATGGACGGTACAGAAGGGGATCGGCACCATGTTACGTATAGTGTTCCTCACCTAGCTGCAGAAGACTTTCTAACTTTATACCAAGATGTAACAGAAATACCTTCAACTGAGTCTTTTTATGGTCAACAAGATTTCCCAACAGCAAAAGTTCCACCTCGCCAGTTCCAGGTCCAGCAGTTTCCCCAACAGCAACCCCAGGTCATAGACGTGGAAGAATTCGATGAAACTGGGATAGGTAGGGTCTTTTGCTGTGCTTGGGTCCTTGTGCGATGGGTAGGTTGCAAAAAATCAGAGACACACAAGAAATTGAGTTGTTAAAGGAGTAATCTGTTTTTCTTTCTCACTACCTTCGTATCTAAAAATCTGTGCCTATTTAATGAGTTTGTGTTATTGATCCAATTAAGTTGGATGTCACCTGTGATTCAGATCCTGCCAGTTTAGTCAACTGCTAGTCAAGTTCACTGGAGAGCAAGTCTGTAATGTGTCTGAGAGACCTGAGTCTGTCCTAAGGAAAGCTTCCTATAGGATACTTGTGTTCCTAAAGCTAACCCATTCTTGGTAGAAACTGCTTTATCCATGTCGTTTGCCCAGGACTGTTGTTAAAGGTATGATCTGAACTTTAACAGCTGCATTATCTGGCTGTTCCTGGTAAGGATTTTATGATCTGTTCTATTGAAACCTAGTTCTTTGCCTTTCACAGACCTGCTACTGAATGCAGGTGATTTAATAAAGGCTGAGAATAGCATCTGCTGTAAAAATTGTTGGCTTAAGGTTTCACGGCCTTATGTTTTATGAAGACAGCACTGGCAAATCTAAATTCTGAGGGAGTGTTCCTAGAAAATTCAAAACAATGTGACCGACTGCCCAAATGTTACACGTTCCTTGAACCAGATGAAAAGATTGCCATCTCCATTAATTAATGGGATAAGCCAAATAGGATTACAGTGTACATCAGTTGGTATAGGCTCCTAAGTACCGTATTGATGAGTTATGTTCTGAGTTTTGAGAGGCTGCTTTTTGCTTTGGTTTGGAAACCAGAACACATTAAACTTTCTGTGTGTTTAGTTTCACCAAGACAGTTAGTAAACTGCTATATGTTAATAAAGATCCACTGAAGTCAATAGAACTACACAGATTTCTAACATCTGAAGCCCTAATGTTCTCTGGAAAATAGTGGACTGTTATTTGCATATTGCAATGTTAACAAAAGTCAATTGCAATTGTTTGCTTTCCGTAAAGGCAATGAAAATGGAAAACCTAGACCAGTGAGTCTAGTGGGATTTTGAAACTATACTTAGGATGTTTGAATGCTGTAGTAGTTGCTTTTAATTTAAATGGCTGGTCTTATTTTCTGCAGTATTCCGCTACCACACGGATGTCCAACAGACCTGCGCTAACAACCGTCACCAGTGCTCCATTCATGCTATTTGCACAGATTATCCCAATGGATTTTGTTGCAGTTGTATTGCTGGTTACAAAGGAAATGGCAGACAATGTGTAGCAGAAGGTAACTTTTTCAAAATTAGATTTATATGCTTCAATTCCACATGACATTAGAATAAGACGGCCTGTTTTCAAGAATTAAAAATAAGATATGTGGTAAGTATTTCTTAAAAGAGTTATCGGTAGAGATGCTTTGAAAGGTATATGAAGTGAACTATACTTTAAAAAAGGGTAGGATTTTTAAATGAAGCAAATTATTTTGGGTGATCAATTAAATGCGTTATATTTTAGCATGACCTTCTAGAGCAAATAAACTCCTATGTAACAGATATAATTTAATCAATAGCATAATGTCCAGTGTTTATTACTTTATGACTGTAGTTCCAGCAATGTGTTGTATAGTCTTATCCGGTCCCTACTCCAGAAATGAACAGTTTAAAGGGGATGAACAAATTAACTTTGATCATCAGAGTAAAAAGCTTGGCTCTTCTTTATCTGATTCTTAAGCTTCTTTACTAAAGGGGTAATCTGCCAGACTTTTGTTAGATATCCATTTAAACTTTGTTCCTGTGTAAGATCCATGAAGGAATTTCTTATGTATACACTTGTAATCCTCACAGTGACTTGACTCAGACTATAGATGCATTTCAAGAACTAAAATAGCAGACTGCAGACTTTGTGCTTTGTAAGGCAGGAAAGCAAAAACTACTGCTTAGGACTCGGTTCATGAAACTGGATTTTCCAGAGAAAGAAACAAAGCCTCTGATGATAATGCAGCTTGAATTTATTTTAGGTACTTAGGAAATTATATGCAGAAGAAAATTAGTAATCCAAAGTAACTACTGCTATACTTCTTCCTAAAACAATTTTTCTCTAAAGTCGGTTTATTTTCCACATCTTCAAGTAAATAATCCAGTTATTCTGAATGTCTAATGGTGGTAGCCTTCTAATAGGGGATGACCAAACTTGAATTCAGGAGGTACTGATGTGAACTGTGGTCTTCCACCAAAGTTACTCTATGCCACTTACGGTCGGATACTGTAACAACTGAGTCTGTTCATTGAATTATCCACAGATGAAAAATTGTTAATGAGGATAACAAATACGTGTTTAGGCAGTTTTAGCCGCTCGTTCACTGTGTAATGACAAAAACACATATAAGCAAATTCACACACTATTTGTAGGCAGTTTCCTGTCTAGCCTGTCTGTCTAATTGGTTTTTGGGGTTTTAGTTTTTTTTTTTTTTCCACTCTTCATGATGATGTTAATATATTTGTTTGAACATAGTGAATGCTCTGAACATATTCCTTGGAGAGTATGTGAGAACTGTCATTTTATTTTGATTCATTGTATTGATTTGCCAGGATCTCCTCAGAGGGTCAATGGGAAAGTCAAAGGAAGAATCTATGTAGGAAATAACCCAGTTCCAGTTGTATTTGAGAATACTGACCTCCACTCCTACGTTGTGATGAACCAAGGGCGTGCCTACACTGCCATCAGCACAATCCCAGAGACTTTGGGGTATTCTTTACTGCCTCTTGCCTCTATTGGAGGTATCATAGGATGGATGTTTGCTGTGGAACAGCAAGGATATAAGAATGGATTCAGTGTTACTGGTAATTTTTTAATTAAAAAATAGTATTTTAAAACTGTGTTATTCTTTTATCTGTCTTGACAGAAAAGAAATGTTTATCTAGAAGCAATACAGGGTGAAAAACTTACTTGTTCTGAGCTGAAAATGGATTGCTTTGTAATGAAACTTCTCACTGTTTTTCCTGTTTACATTGTATAGATATTGAGATTTTTATTTTACAGTCAGTGCACAAGCCTGTGAGGCTTAGAGAATGATAATGGATTGACCGAGGAGAGTGAATTGGCCAGTTCCCATATAAGAAACACATTAGTAAAAATTATCTGATTTTTTTTTTTTAGTAACAAAGTATGCCCAACTACTGCAATAAGATGCCTGAAATCTACATGTTGATTGCCAGTGGTCCTCTAGAGCTTACACCGTAGCTGCATGTTCACCTCCTTGTTGCCTCCCATATCCTCTGCTGAGTTCATTCTCCTGACAGACTTCTTTTCAGGGAATTAATATCTAATTAGGTCTGCCTTAGATTGTGCCAAGAGCGCAAAACACAATGAAAGTCTGACCTCATGAAAGTCTGAAATTTTAAAGCAGCAATTTCTGTGTGAGGTGCTAATGATTCTTTTAACTTGTTTGAGGGAAAACCCATTTCAGAATTAAGGTTCTTCATAAGTAGATATGGGCCTGGACTCTTACTTGTGCACATGAACTTAGACTGGACCTATAGCCTGTTTTAGGAGAACATGTACTTTCTTTTTTTCTCCTTTACAGTGCTGTAGTGTGAATTTAGGTTAATATCGTTGTGTTAGCTGAGCATAACTTTTTTTAATTTTGTGTGTTTGACTGGAATTTACAACATGCATTTCACTTGATTTTGATTTGGAAATAGGTGTACTGGATCTCTTTGACTGTTTTTCCAGTGGAGATATTTTCTCTCAAATGTACAACTCCTTTCCCATTTTAACTAATAGGATAAAATCTAAGATTTTTGTGAACTTTTTTTTTTAACTACTACTTCAGACTTACTTGCAGTTCAGCATGTTCAATACTTAAGATAGTTTACTTACAGTATCCGAGGGTATTAGTTATATACCTCTGGAAGTTATTTCCATATGAACTCAAGACATTAGCAATTACACTGCATAAAAGCTGGCAGAAAATACTCATTTATATTTTAACTACTAGAAAAAGTAGCTCGATAGAAGGATTCAGAAATCACTATTAAATGGTTTAACTAATACTGTTTCTTTAGGTGGTGAGTTTACACGACAAACTGAAGTAACCTTTCTTGGCAACAATGAGAAGCTGGTTATCAAGCAGAAATTCAGTGGAATTGATGAGCATGGTCACCTTACCATCAGCACAGAAATGGAGGGCAGAATACCTGAGATCCCCTCTGGTTCATCCGTCCATATAGAACCATACACTGAGCTCTATCACACTTCTAGTTCTGGTAAGGTGCCCTAAGAGTGAAAGGATATGAGAGTGCACGTTTGTCAGAGTGGAAAGTAAGACAATCTGAAAAAATGTTATTTTACTACATTATTCACAGATGTGTTTTTGACCCTTCAGTAAATACAGAGTTGCTTTTTGCCTCTTAGGAACAGGTCCTGGAAGAGGTAGATGATAATTGAGACAATGCAAATACTCCTGATCTTTTTACCGAAGAGTTTCTGAGTTTAACTTTCTCTGAACTGATGTTTGCAAAACACACTAGAGTCCCTTTCCAGTGATCTTATTTTTACACTGCCGATGGCAGTCATACTGGTTACAAAACTTTTTTTTGTGGTCCACAGCTCTTCAGTAGGAGCTGGATTGGGTTATACCTATCTGTAGGGATTGTGTCATTAAGCAGGCTTTGGTCTTGTCCAGCAAAAGCAGAAAGACTGTTTTTTCATCAGTATGTGTTATGTAAGCTGCATAGCAATGACCGTGCCTTGTGTTAGTAACAAGCGTTGTCAGCATCATTTGTATTTAATGTGAATGACTGACCAGAAAATTAAGATGCTCTTGAATTCGTTACTAGTTTTTTCCACCATCTTTTCAGTGCTTCTCTCAATTAGTTCTTTCAGGGTCTGAGATTTGGTGAAGAGTGATCTGTTTTTCTTGTCACCATTTACAGTGGGATACCTCTTATTTTGCTTTCTTCTTGGATAAAATCACGGGTTTTTCAACACAGCAAAACTGAAGTGTGTTTGGAGTGTTGCTGCCAGCCAGCCAGCCCTGCTATCAAAGAGCAATAAAGATGCAGCAGCCTGGGGTGCACCCAAGCACCCAAGTGCATTTGGATACTTGGGAGAATCTACTTTGCTCCAAGGGCATGCTCTGATTGCTAGAGACAACTCAAAGCAGTGTAGCTGCATCACCTCTGCTCTATTTCCACTAGGGTCTGGCTTCAGTAGCCAGTTCCTATTTTGCCTGTTGTTGTGTACTGTGATACCTTGGAGGCAACAGGAAGCTTCCACTTTGTGCCAAACTATTTCAAAGTTTTGGAGGAATTGTTTGGGCAGTGTATGCTGTGTGGAACCTTACCTTATCTGCAAAAAGGTTGTCCCCTCTGGGGGAAGTGTCACCCCATAGAGTGAAGTTCAGTTTTAACATTTTGTTTAGGTATATTGTATGACTCATTCTTCAAGGCTTTGCTATCTGAGAATAAAATAAACCTAGTCAAGTGATATTTTATTCCTTTACCTGGAAATAGGTCGGCTTTAATAGCTTCTTGCTGCTTGTTGCCTTTCTGCAGTGATCACTTCATCGTCCACCAGGGAGTACACAGTGACGGAGCCAGAAAGCGATGGGATTGCTTCTTCATACACGGCCGCCTATCAGTGGCGACAGACCATCTCCTTTGATGAATGCATTCATGATGACTCTCACCATGCCGCTTCTGCTACTCAGCAGCTCTCAGTGGACAGTGTATTTGTCCTGTATAACAAAGATGAACAGATTCTGCGATACGCTATGAGTAATTCCATTGGCCCAATCAGTGGTATGTATGAATTGGAAATCTTTCTTTTTCTCTTCTGAGAATATCTAAGAGCCAAGCTCCTACATTCTTCTAGCCTGACTTAGCTGGGTGCTAATGAATTAAATTAATTAGTTGCATAGGTCCCCAAAGTCTGGTTCCATTCATTAAGAAGAATAACGCTATTGAAGGGTGTATTTTTACTTGGAGGAGGAGAATGAAGTGATTATCTCCTCTTGAAATCCAGTGGAGTTTGTGTGCTGAATTCATTGGAAATACTCTTCACAGAGCAGCTTAAATGTATTGCTGCTTAGATGTATGGAGTGTCATTGATCTTGACCTAAATTAGAATTCCTTTATTAATGATTTTTTTGTTGTATTGACAGAACAAAGGATCAAACAAGGGAATAAGATCTGCCATTGGAAAGGCTAGTTTCTGTAGTTCATCTTGAAACATGACACTATGTCTTTGGAAGTTAGGCAGCTTATGAAATGTCTTGTTTGGACCAGCTGAAAACTTGCTAGCATTTTGTCAATGTGTTTCCTTAATTTGCAGTTATTCTTTTTTTTTTTTTTTTTCCTGGAAAGGTTGCTTGTGAGCCTGTCTTCAAATTTTTCCATATGCACTAAAATCAGAAGAAAGCAAAGGAACAATTTGAAAATGCATATCAGATGAGCACAGGAAGCACTATGCTCTTTATTTTTTTATCTATTTATTTATTTATTTATTTTCATTCCAAAGCTAAAGTTCTGCTAATTACAATGAACAAAACGGGCACTAAGAATCACGTTTGGGACCTTGGGTCAGTGGCTCAAAGTTTTTTTTTTTTTTTTAAACAATCCTTTGGAGAAGTTGCAAGGAGTACAGGTGCTGTAGTCATATTTGAGATTCGTGTCCTGCATATTGCCGGCAGGTCCCCCTCTTCCTAGTGCAAAACATATCCTTTTTCCTAATTTGATGCACGCTACAGGCAATCTCCTTCTGGGCTGTATCTTGGTACTTCTGCTTGGACAGAGTCATTATGGCTAAACACGATCTCTCTTGTCAGATGGTTCTGCTGATATTAACCGGAATCCTTGCTACACTGGTACCCATAACTGCGACACCAATGCAATATGTCGACCAGGAACGGGGAATCATTTCTTCTGTGAATGTTCGACTGGCTTCCGTGGAGATGGGAATGTCTGTTACGGTATGAGAAGCCTTTCATTAGAAGATGACAGCTAACAGAATCTGTTTTCTTTGGAATGTATTTACCTTCAGGACTAGCTATTCCAGCCAAATGAATTGTCCTAAGAGGGTGGTTTTGAGAGAGAGAGTTTAGAGGGATGCTGGAATAGCAGGCATATCTGAATAACCAAATTAAACACATTCGACTTTCTTAGTATTTGCCTTAGTATTTCTTGCAAGGCATCTTTCAAGGCATCTGCTTACAAAGCATCTTTCCTACCTGGTTCCTGTTTTCATAAAACTTATAGGAACTTACTTGTGAGAAATTTACTGTTCTGTAAAATCTGGTTAATATCGGTCTGCTATGTTGAAAGCTCTTGAGGGAGAGGAGGGATAGCATATGCACATGCCTACAAAGCACAAGTGCATAGGATACAGGGCTGCGATGGAACCCCTTGAAACCATCTTTTTCAAGATCTAACTTGAAACTGCCTTCCTTTCAAGAAGTCTTTTATTCTCCAGCTCTGTACAGCATTCCTGTTGCCTAAAATCTTCTCTCTGTAGTATATGACAGGATTTTGAGATGCTTTGTGAGAGTTACAGAAGAAGTCAAAGCTCCACTTCTTTATTTGATTATCATCTTGGCATGAAATGTGTTGTTAGGCTGACAAAGCTAGATTGCTTTACAGTTTAAAGTTTCCTTCTCTTCCATATTTTAATCTGTTCTGCATGCCCCAGATCACATTAGAAACTTAAGAAAGGCCCCTGCTTACGTGAAGGCTTTTAAAATCTGATTATTCAAGATATGAGGTATACGACTTGCATTACAAAGTAGTGAAGCAAAATCTCCACATGTGCAAATGTCTTCCACGTGTTAAGTTTAGCTAAACTCCGGTTAGTGACCACTGTGTAGCACTATATAGTAAAAATTTAGATCATTTTAACTTCTAAACATGTGAATTCTACCTCTTATATGTGTATGCATATTTATTAGCAGACAGTAAGCTTTTGGAATAAACCTAGTTATTGCATATAGGATCAAAAATATGCCCTTTAAAACACAATTTAAAGGTTTTATCTCCAGTGTTGTTTAAATCCATATCTTAACATAATAATACGCTTTATTTCTGTGTTATTGTCATTTCCTGTCCTTAGAATTTTTAGGTTATTGTGGAGCATGTGGTTTTTAAGGTGTTTATTTTTTGTTTCATAATCGGATCACAGCAAAATACATTTTCACCTCTTGAAAATGAGTATTTTAATGAAATATGCATCCCTAGAAGTTAACTGAGTTAAAAAACAGAAACAAAAAAATGCAGAAAAACCCAAATGAGAACAACAATGCCAAACTGTCCCTCCCAGTCTTCCAGTGCTGTGAGCTAAGCAGCAGTGTGGGTTAGAGACGTATGTGGATAACAAAAAGGGAAGTCTTTCCTAAAGCTCCTGCTCCCCCAGTAGCCCTCGCTGCTTCTAATCGCCTTGTAGCCTGCGTTTTCTTTCTCAGTGTCTCCTCCTTTTTCCCCTCTGTTTTCCTGTCCCTTGTCCTTAGTACGCCACTGTAGCACCTCTTCTGATTTCTGTGCAGATTAACTGAGGGCATAGTTACCTGAAAACTTATTTTCAGGTTGCTAATATGTTATAAGGGAGTGTGTGATCTATCCAAGATGTGGATTAAATGCATAAGGCTGCTGTTACTCAACAGTTCTGCAGTTTCTGTTTTTCTGGCATCTCTACTGAATGCATTATAATAACTGGTGTCCTTTTAATAACCTAGATGTTGATGAATGCTCAGAGCAACCAGCTCTATGTGGCAGTAATGCAGTGTGCAGTAACCAGCCGGGAACCTACCGATGTGAGTGTGTTGATGGATACCAGTTTGCAGCAGATGGGCGGACGTGCGTTGGTGAGTTTCAGACTTCTTGAAGCACCCACTACCTGGCTGATTTTGGGTTGTGCTAGGAGAGAGAGCTTCTAGGAGCTGTGCTGCTTCTAACGTGAGTAGAATTCAGGAGTCTGTGCAGCAGTTAGTGATTACAATTCATTAGGTAAGAAGGCACCTAAAGTTCTTTTGTTTTCCGCTCATAAAAATTTCCCATTCATATTGTATCCAAATATAAAATGGAATTGTTTATTGAATTCTTCTACCTTTTCTGTACCATTATTTAGCTGTAGATTTCACACAGAAGCAAAATTCAAATTTATAAAAGAAAAAAAATTAAAGGGAGCCATTATGAATTTGCCCTCATTTCACAGCATCTCACTCTCAAGACTAGGTATTGCATTTATTACACCATCACTTTAAATCATTTTCTGTAGTGCTGAGCTTTGCCTTTTTGGGGTTTTGGGTTTTTTTTTTCCCCTTTGTTAATTGTAATCCAGAATAAATGTTTCTGATTCATCACTTACAAAAGCAGTGCCCAGGCTTATCCTGAAGTAATTGTTAATCATGCTGAAAAGGAATTAAAACTACAGCCCATTTCACTGTTAAAATCTTTGAGATTCTGAGGAAACGTGGCTGGTGTGATAATGGACCATTAAAACTCCAAATTCAGTGTTTGTCACTGAATTGTGTTTGTTTAATGCTTTTAAAACATTTCCCCAGAGGAAGCCTGAGTTAATCTGTACTTGCTGGACTAGAGTCTCTTAACAAGGGCTCTTTTTTCCTATTTGTTCGTTTTTCACTAAAACTGTGAAAATTCCATATAGTAGCTGGCAGAGTTTGGAGATGCTTATGCAGAATGTGTATTGAAAGTGAATTATCCTTATAGAGGGAAAAATCATGAGCTTTACCCTAGTGAACATTAAGCTGGTTCTTTTGGGAGTTAATTACATTGCAAATATCAAAGGCTATAAACTCCCAAAATCTACAAATTGTCAATGGAAAAAGGATTATTACTCTTCTGCTAGAGCTCCAACTGTCTATTTTTTGCTGTTTGACTGTTGAATAATACTTAAGGCAGAGTATTTATCTTCTAATTTGGCAGTCTCCTCAGTTGGAAAATTCTTCTGGGCGGAGAGGTTAGAATATAGATTAGTTTTTTTTTTTTTTTTTAATTAGAATTTTTGTCTTAATTTTGCAGCCTGACAGTTTTCATAAATACTTATTTTTGTGTCATATTCTCTATACGTGATATCAAGGGACCAATCAACAAGTTTCAAAGGCAAAAAATGATCATGTGCTTTCACAGCCTTGGTTTTGCTATTCCAAACATGCCAAGCCTTTCATCCTCATCTTATAAAATAGGCTTTTTTTTTTTTTTTTAACATTTTAAATATTTCTCCGATTATCCTGGCAATGTTGCATGCTTAAGTTTGAATTCATGTTTCTTGCACCTGGATGACAAGACCTGTACACACTATTCCAGTGTGATTGGACCCGTTCCTCTCTCTTTTGGAAATAAGTGAAACAGCTGAGGGTAACCTTTGCTTCTTTCATGACTGCTTCATGGTGGCAGCTCAGTTACCCTGTGATCAGCTAATGTGTTCAAGTCTCTGCTCATCATAGCTGTTCCCAACTGCAAGGCCTCCATCTTTCCTCACAAAGTTGTATTACTTCCCTTGGGTGTGCGACCTTGCATGTTGTGTACTACATTCCAACGCAAGTCCATCTCTCTGGTCCAGTAGGAATTACCATTCACATCTGGCCTTCTCCTTTACTGCAGCACAGTTGGAAAAAGCAGCTTCTGCCAAGATGCTGGAAGGAATAGGGTGCGATGTGGAAGGGAAGCTTTATATTCTTTCTGTTATATCCATTGCTTCCCTTTTAACACTTTGACCTGAAAGGAGACCTTTTCTCTAGGCCTGACCTCCCTGGCACCATTCTACGATTTTCTCTTGAAGCTGATCTGACACACTTGTTCCAAATGCTATGTAATTCCTTGCTTAGCTTGAATGATTTCAGTTTGATCCTTTCCTTCAATGAAAACCAAACGTTGCATCCATAAGACTGAGCAGGTATAAGATGAACTGTATTTTCCCAGTAGGATGAAAATAAAAGTTATGGTGTTCTTGTTCCCCTTCTCACCGTGGAGGCGTTTACAGCCCGTAGACAGCTTGAACTCCTGAAGAGACAGCAGCTACCCTCTTTGTGCTTTTGCTGCTTGCCCTGGGATACCAGCTTTGTCTCAACTTCTCTGGAACTGCAGCTTTTTCATACCAGCTGTGTGATTCACCAAATGGCATGAGAGTTGTAAATAAATGCTGGTTCTCCTATTTGTTGACTGAAGAATAGAAGGACTTGGGGACTTACTCAGAGTTCCAAGTCTAAAATGGGTGCTTTTAAAATGCAATTCTAAATAGATAGTTATGCAATCTAAAACTTACTTCATCAAGTAGAACAGATCTCCTAAATGATTCTAACAGTGTCATCTCCCCCAGAGAAGTGGAGAAAATGACTGTTTTGAGATCTTGCTATGATTACAAGATTTTTTTATTTTCATGTTGATACTCTGGTAGTTTCCATCTGTATGTGGTGAAAGGAGCATTGTAGAGTGTGCTCGCAGCATGCTGACAGCTCTTGGTAAGAACTCTAAAAAAGCCTCAGTGACTCCTTGCTATAGCAACGGGAAGTCTGTTCCCAGATGCACATGCTGCAGACGCGTGTATTCCTGGAGCCAAGAATTTTGTAGTATTTTGCCTCTTTCTTTCTTAAATATCATGACCTCCTTTACTCTTCTTTGGCATAAGAGGTAAGCATGGGGAGAGCTCTGGAAACTGGTTGAAATATATGTGTGTGTAAAATGATGAAATGCCTTCAGAATCACTGCTGTCAACACTGAGAAAATAAGTTATGAAAACCTACGGGACTGACCCCAGCTGCCACAATTAGTCAAAATCTCTCTGTTAGTTGACAAACAGTGTGTTTATCTTCTATTGAATGAGTCACAGCTCCTCTTTGTTGCCAAGTGACAACAACCTGGGTCAATTCTAGGTTAGCGTAGCAGAATATCTGATAATTTCCAATGCAGTGAACTGGCTGCTTAGCTAGTATGTGAGGTGTCTCTGTGAGATTCCGTGCATTTCTTCATCCAGGACTCCTTTCCATAATCAAAAGTATCTTGGATGTTAGGATCTGTGACTGTGATAACATACAACAGAGGAGAAAGGCTAACAAACATTTATGAGATGCTGAGAGGTTCTTTCTTTGCAAAACACTGTTAAACACGTAACATCAGTGGAAAGAGAAGTCTCAGAAAAAAACGCTTTTCTTTCTCGTCTGCATGCTTTCACAGCTGTTCTCTCTCTACAAATGTATTACAAGCTTCAGACTTTGAGGAGGGAAATTCAAATTTTCATCTCATTTTTTGTGCATATTACCTGCAGCTGTTGAATATGCCATAAACCATTGTCAGACAGGCACACACAACTGCGATATTCCTCAGCGTGCCCAGTGTGTATACACCGGAGGGTCTGCCTACATCTGCTCGTGCCTCCCTGGCTTCTCTGGTGATGGGCGTGCCTGTGAGGGTGAGTAGCACTCTTTGTTGTGGGTGTTGTTGTAGGTTTTTTATACTCTTTATTGTACAACTTGGCTGGTTATTCCAATGTCCTGTAGTTACTTCCTATTTTAAACCAGAAATTTCATAGGTTAAGCCCCTCAGGAAACCACTGCATTAAGCTCCTGTCCTTTCCTCTTCCCGTGTTCGAATTCACTCTTCGGTATTTGTGCTACAGTTGGTCAGAGATGAGGTAGGTATACAAATTGCAATAGTTGCAGTTAGCAGATCAGATTGTCATCTGCTGGAGCTATTAGCCCCATACTGGTTTATGTTATTAAGGTGGTAACACATGATACTTAGAATTCTGAATCTGTAGAAAAAGCTGCTCCCCCACCACACTCCAGTTGACATATCGGAAACTTTATTGGCCAAATCCTACCCCTTTTACTGTGTTTATCTATAGGACTGTTCCTTGCAAAACGTGGGCATGTTATTCTAGAATACTGTATGTTAACAATGCTAGTTATTCATCAACATTGTTGATTTAAGAGCAGGAGGGTGCTGGAATTTGTTAAGAGCCAGAATCTAAAATACATGCATGCCTTTTTTTTTGATTAGTGTTTCTGTACAGACATTCTTCCAAATTCTGATAATTCTGTATAAGTCTAACTCTATGCAGATATCCCCAAATTGGTGCCTGAAAGTCATAAGACAGATTTGTACTTTAATTCTAATCGCTCTGATTTGTAAGTTATTTTTATCAGGAAGAACAGTTACCTGAAACTGATCTTTTATCTTACAGATGTAGATGAATGTCAACAGGGCCGCTGTCATCCAGATGCTTTCTGCTACAACACGCCTGGGTCCTTCAGTTGCCAGTGTAAGGCAGGTTACCGTGGGGATGGTTTCCGGTGTGTGTTAGGAGGTAAAATTTTACAGTTCTTGAAAGTAGGACCAGAAATATAATTTGGCAATTGGAGGACATATGTTAGTTTGGTTCCTCTCTGGAACAAATTGCATGTTTTCTTGCTGTGGTCTTTTATTCTTTCTCTCACAGACTCTCAAATTTTGAACTTCACCAAGCTTGTGTTAAAATCTGTTTCTTGGCTACTGTCCCTTTTCCTGCTTAGTATCTCCTGTATTATGTTTTAATTGATTGTTCTGTTTCCAGCAATCCTTAGTCCCAAGCTGATGGTATTTTCTGAACTGCATTAGGTAAACATTGGGGAAAGACTGATTCTGTGAATGCTTTGTTGCATTTTATTTACATTACCAACAATTCCCGATCTTTTATGGTAAGTGGCTACTGTGTATGCAGAACAATTACAAGACAAAAGTGAAGGATAAGCTCACAGTACCTGCACTGGTGTCTTCCGTGGGATCTAGATGCCTACATTCCACTGTTTAGGCAATAAGAGTCCAGAAAGCCTGACTCCAGTTTCTAACTAACACTTAGATGTTTCTGTTTTCACCCAGCTTGTTCCCTATTCAGCAGAATGTTCTTTATCCCCCTGCACTTCTGCTCTTGCATGTATGCCTTGCAGTTCGGGCCTTGAAGTATTAAACTCCTGATCTTGAAGGCATGGTAAAAATAAGAAGTAAGTAACACTGAAGCATGAAGTAGCATTACTACGGTTACTTTCATTCAAAAGTGTGGCAAAACCAGGAGACAATACTCATGTTTTGCAGAATGGTGCATACTCTCATCCCAGAAATAAGGCCTAATTTCTAAGCAGATTCAAACCTGCTTTTCCTGCTTACTAAGATTCTTGCTATGAGGCAAAAAAACCCTGCACCTCTCTACAAATTGCAACTCTGAACTGTGCAGCCAAGAGTACAAAAGTCATAGGACCAGAAGGAAAGAAAGTAAGAAGCAGTATGCCTGTGTAGGCTGTCTTTATTAATCTGCTTCTGCACTGTGGTGTTAATGATGTCCAAAGTCTTTGATAATTCAAAGCTGTGATTTTTTTTTTTAATTATTTTTTTTTTAATATTTCACTGAAGTGCTTGCCTAAACATGCTTGTCTGCGTGACACAGTATCACTACCTGCTGTGTAGCTGGAACGTACTTTCTTTCTTTGTCCCTCTGCCTGCCACCATCATCCCTAATTCTGAAGTTTTTATTTTTTTGCACAATTCGGTACTAATTCCTTGAGCCAAAAAGGCAAAGGAGCATGCACTGGAAAGGCAATATAAAAAAAAATTGCAAGGTGATTTCTGTTTATAAAACATATAGATTTTTCTATCATAGCTACGTTGTAGGAGGTTTGCAGCATTTAATTCTGAAGCTATAGCTTTTGTCACTTTATGTCAGTCTTTCAGTGTTATTTTAATTTATTTTTTATGTGTGAATGCCCATTCATATTTTCATTTTAATGCCAAATGAATGGAGAATTGCCTAGTATTCCTGGCCTCTGTTAAACTATTTCTCCTGTCAACCTTCATATAAAAGGTGCAGGATTATCCTCTCTAGAGGAAAAAGTTGATGTGAGTAGCTTGAAGCATAATCGAACTGTAAAGCTTGCAGTTCTTCAGTAGGATTTACAGAGGCAGAAATATTACTTTCATGTCTGGCACATCCCCTTTCTTGTAGCTGAAGCAGGTGATTTGGTAGACTGTGATACTTGAATTTAACAATTCAGCTTTATTACCAGGATATATTTAATTTCTTCTGCATATACATGATGGTATATTTAAGCTTTTTTTGTTGAAAACAACATCTTTTCACATACAGTAGTTAGTGTGTCTGTTAAACTAAGTACAGTGTATCATTTAGTAGTAGCTTTATATTATTTTTGCTGTAAATTTCTTGACTTTCCGTACTCTTCACAATTCTGTCTTGAGTGGGGATCTCTCCCAAAATGATGTTAATGGTAACAAAATATTATTTTGGAGGGCTTTGTATCTATCATTTTAATGGGAGGGGATCTGCCAGGTTTTGTTAATCTTTGTATGGGCCTATCTCTTCTTTTTTTTTTTTTTTATGCTGTTTTGCAGTACCAGTGCAATGTGCTTTAGAAACACTTGCATCAGTTGGTTCTGTTCATGAAATGCTGTGAGCAGAAAATCTTGGTAGATGAGAAATCTCACTCTTGCTGAATCCCGTACAAGAGAATATTGCTTTCACCCTGCTAGTCTGCAGCAGTGGCAGCGTTCATGATAAACTAAGCTGCTCCTCCCTTATGTAATGAAACAATACTCCCTTATGTAATGAGCAGTAATGAAACAATAGCTGCCCTTGGGATGTCATCTATTGCTAAAGCATTATTTACTTTTATAAACAGATATATCCAACAATCCAACAGTTGATCATTTCCTGTAGTTAGACTCAAAATATACTTTCTGAAGCCTAACAAAAAGCAGCTTAGTTTATTTTAGCACCTAATTTGCAACGTAAGCTGTTCCAGGATGGAGCTTCCAGATGAGAACCTATTGTATTCAGCTTTAATTAGAGGCCCTTTCTTCTACTTTTTACCCACAAAGGTTTTGATCTAATTAGCCTCAGCCAAGTCACTGAAATCTTTCCTGGTTGTTAACAGCATGGAAGATTTCATTCATCCAAATACTCAGTTCTTTTTGCTGTATCTTTTTCCAAACCATGTGTACAATTGCTATTTGTTTGGTGTCTGGTGTCTTTATTATTTTATGAAATATGCTGTTGAATGTAGCCACTGCTGAACAGGAACTCTTAAAACAAGTAGACTTGACAACTAAAATGAGTGTGGGTTGCACATTTTGGTCTTGCATCAGAACTTTACAAAAAACTATCAGTTTTGTTTTTATAAATCACTTTTCAAGTCTTATAGCCAAAATGCTATGGGAAAATGTCTGTAGTATTACAATTTTTCCAGAGTAGGTCAGTGAGTTAAGGAAAGAGTTAATGGTGTTGGAATGTCCCACTGCTCGCAGCTATTAAGAATGTCTGTACTTCATTATTTCCTCACGCTTCATTTTTCCATTTCAAAAAACCAGATGTCTGAGTGTTTCTACCCCTGCAGACCCCAGAGACTGTTTACTAAACAGAAACAAATCCAGATTCTTGGACTGGGGCTATGACCATTAAGAGCCATACACTGGTCCTGCTAGTCTGTATATAATCCATTTCACAGCAGCAATGCACTTAGAGAGCAAGACTGTAAGGAAAGGATTGCAAAGCAAAATGAATGGACGAGGGGAAGTGTGTTACTGTGTTTGTTTTTGTTTTTACCTCTTGTTTTTTGGTAATGTCTGAGAAAAGCAATTAGAAATCCTAGTATAGTTTCTTGTGGTATGTGAGGAATGAAGTGATCCATATAAGAAATTTGTAAGTACTCTTCAATTCTGGACGCAGTTCTAAAGCACTTCTGTAGCCTTAGCTTTTCAATGTACATCTGTTTGAGCAGCTATATCAGGTCTTTACAGATTTTTGAATGACGTCCCAAAACTAAATAATTGAATTTGATATAATGTATCAGGCTGCAATTTCTTCTGCGAAGTAAAAGGGAAGATGTCCTGTACATCCCTGTTTCTCACCCTTTGTTCTCAGCCTCAAATCTTTCTGGAAAAATCCATAAACTGTCTTGTGCAGTGCTGCCGCAAGAGCTTTTCTTCATGAGCAGAAAGACTTTGAATGTTCATATATAGCTTCTAGCTTTTTCCACATTCTGTTTATTTTTTGCTTATGTGGTACATGTGTATATGCATATTTTTAATCTGACCCGCTTCCACTATCGTTGCTATTTTCAGATCATTTTTTCAAGTTCCATGGTATACTTTAGGGACTTAAATTCTAGATTGCTGATGGTGGTTTTTAAAGCAAATGCAAAAATTTGTCTAAAACATAGAAGTGCAACCTTGATTTTCTGAAGAAGGTAATTCATTTTACTTGAGTTCAAGATGTGCACCATTCTATGTATCTAATCCAACTTGTGTGTGATGTGGTCCGTGAAACGTTACTTCTTCGTCAGGCTCACAATCCCTCTTCTGAAATACAGCTTCTCTTTTAGGAGCAATTTGCTGTACACTGGTTCAAATTTTCACTGATATCTTGAACTTTTGGCTACCAGAACTGGACACAGTAATCCATGAATTATCTCGTGAACCTCATGTACAGCAATAACATTACTTCTCCATACCTGTGCAGTGTTCCTTGTGTATATGCTGAATTCTTTTTTTACATCCCCTCACACTTAGGCATTCAACTGGGTGATCGCACTGAATTGACTGTCTTCTGATAGCTTTTCTTAGTCATCATTTTCCAAGATAAGTCTCCATCTTTAGAAGCTGGTCTACATAGTGTATTCCTAAAAATATAACCTTCCATTTGACTGTGAAACTACCTGTTGATTTAATGAGCTCAGTTTACCTAGTCATCAGGTCTTGTCCTTCTCATCTTCTGTGGCTTATTTGTCTTCCACAAATCATGCAACCTATGGTTGTATATTTTCCTCCAGAATCCTAATAAAGAAACTAAATTTCTTAATAAGGAAATTTAAAACCAAGACTAAAATAAGGTTGGAACTTACTGAAGATAGCAATACCTCAAGACGTTTGCCCCTTTACTCAGGTGAACGGCAAGATTAACTTTCAAGATCATCAGGAAATTCAAGGATAATTAGTTCTTTTGGCTTTAATTTTACAACAGTTTGGACTGAAAAAATTCATTTTCATAGGCTATTATCTCTCATGCAATAGGCAACATGACTTAGATCAATATATCCTTCCAGATGCCAAACAGCCTAATGAAATTAAAACATTTATTGAAATAACCTTTTCCCTTCTCTGGGCAACCAAATCTGGGTCAGTTTTACCCTACACTTGGGACTCTTGAAGTGCTCTGTGCACTGGGAGAGAAAGAATTGTAATTATGGGAGCATATCTTCTTCCTGTCCATGATTTCTATAGACAGTTAAAAATATTTACTGCAAACTGCCTGATGAAGAGGCTTGTACACCACAGTTCCATTTATTCCTTTCACGCTTTTATTCGTGGACTGCAGTGGTGGAGAAGCATTAGTTATGTGCGGCTCAGGCCGGACCCAGCTCTGTCGAACACAGAGCTAATCCCATGTGCCCGCAGACTACTGTAGTGTTACAGTCACACAAAACAGCATAGCTGGGTTTTTTATTATTTATTTATGCTAGTTATGCAAGCAAAAGCTTTGGACAAGTTTCATGCACCTGGACACAATTAGAGCAGAGAAATATAAATGTCTGGAGAACAGCACGGTCTAAACAACTGAAATATTTGGCCTCAGCTTTAATGTGGGTGGTGAAGAGCCTTGAGATAACCTACACAACCAGACCCCAAAGGAAAGCATTCATTATCTAGCTCATACTTTATTTGCATGCATTCAATGAAATATTTAGATAAAAGGTATTGATTCCAATAATAGACAGTTTTGTCCACTGCTTTTTTAGAGGTCATATTATGTGCACCATTCATGAGAGAAAGCAGGGGCGTACAGACTATTAGTAAATTGACCCCATCCTGTTTTTGTTTTGCAATCCATCCATGTTATCTTTGAGATGCACTATTAGCTCCTTCTCAGCAGGGATATAAAAACAATTCTAGAAGCTGGCCATTTGTCCTTCCTGTCCCCAACTCCCAGAACTGGAAAATCTCAAATATCTTATTAATGACTTGCAATTTTTCAAATTAAAATGACTCGATAAATTTTATGAAAAGGAGTTAGCAAATATAAACTATGCAAATGAATGTATTAACTCCCAGCTAGGACCCAGCGACTATACGTAGAATGTACTCCTATAATTGGAGACTTGTAATACTGATGTCTCTTCAAATGTCAAGACATGACTCACATTTATATCTGCAGATTTGATACAAGAATACTGATGGAAGTTTCAAAGATTGCCTATATTGCAGTGATCAAACCCACCTCACAAATATCCTGCTTATGCAGTCAGCCAAATTAAAGTTAAGAGACTAGTCAAAAACTTGTTTTCAAAGTCAGAATTCTATTTCTAGAAGACAGCATATGATTTGTTGTTTTTTTTTTAATTCTATCAACATAGATTTTTCCACGGCATAAAGGGATATTAAATACCCATTTCCACTCACTTTCAGTGATAACTGGATATCTTACTACCTCTGTGCTGCTGAAAGTCTGTCTTGTAGACATTTATGATAAACATTATTAATAGCATAAAGTACGATGTTGTCTATGTTAAAGAAATATTCTGAAAAGAAATAAAAGCAGTGTCATTGTTTTCATTCGATGAAGACTCAATCATTTTAACTAGTCCTCTAAGGCTGTTTTCCACCGATTTCAACTCATAATCATGAATTTAGCCAATATTACAATTCATAAATGAAAAAAAAAAAAGAGCAGGTTATGCAACAGGTTATGCCAGTCCAAACCAGTCACTTAGTATCCATACCGTACTTTTTCTTTCCCTCTGAATCGTGAGAAGGATTACTATGCTCCGTGTTACAGCTCACTAACTTGCAGGTAGGCATCTTTGCTAATCTTCCCTCAAAACACATTCAGAAGAAGGGAGAAGTTAGTCCTACTTAAACGCTTTTTACCCAAGAGATCAGCAGTGAGAGTATGTATCTTTCCTTTGCCAGGCAAACGCTAAACAAGATCTTACACATCCTATAGCAGTACCTGCCCTGCACCTCTAGGCATGCTGGGGAGCAACTGTTTTACCCGCTTCTGCTGAAGGCATTCCCTTGAGCATGTGTTAGTCAGACATCACTGGGCCAGCTAACAGAAGAAAAAGCCATCTTAGAGTTAGGGTCTCCAAGTAAGAGCGGGGACTCTGACTAAGTGTGGGTACTTAAGGCATAGCCACAGTCTCCTTTGAAGTGGAGAGAGATCTAGTCAACATAGTCAGTGGATTATCCAGGGGGTAGTTCATGTTATTCTGAAGTAGACAGAATCGCCATCTGCTTAGTTAAATCAAGCCCTGAACTAATTGCTGATTAGATTTCCTCACACTATAAAGACAGTCTCAACAGCTAGCTTAACTAGAGACACTTAAAGGAAAGCAAGCTGAATCCCAGCCCAGCATTGCAGCACATGCAACAATGAAAGCACAATAAACTTAAACACAGGTAACAGCTAGTTGTGATAAACAGTTTGCTTATATAGTCATACATTTTCTCAGTGCTCTTAAGACAAGATGGTTGGATTTTGCAAGTCTTAAATTGTTTTAATTAACTGTCTGTCGTGAGGCTAGCTATGACCAAGTTTGAAAGATGAGATTCACATAGTAAATAGAGCACATTCCTTGCCTTGATGAGTTAACAATATAAGTTAGACAAAACGTATAGCAAGAGTAGGCACGTATTTAGGTTGTACAGGGGCTACTTTGTAAGTCAGCTTCCAGACAAACATTATGGCTAGTAACTTTTTTTCCTTCAGTGAACCAGTCTGACTGACAAAGGTTCTTAATGCTTCCCCTTTAATATAAGCGTAGCAATATTTCATCTGATCAAAGTTCTTCAAAGATACAGAACAATTAACATTAGGAGAGTTACTCTACTCATCTCTACTGTAAGATATACGCAGGTGATGTGTCCGTTGTGTATCATATGTTTCTCTGTGTATGTGTGTTTCTGTGTGTACCAGGCACTTGGCAATCTGTCCCTGCAGTTCCTTTCTTTGGCCCAAAAGTTTGAAATGGATGCTCAAATTTGATGTCCAAACTTTCAAAATCCTAACGTGCCTCAGAGCAATTAGTTGTCACCCTTTCTAAGTCCCATAGAGAACTCCACATCATCCTCTTGTCATGATTTTCTCTTGTGACTCTTGTGTCTGAAAGGAGACTCCCCTTTTAACAACACAGAAAAGCTTTATCCACTGCGTTGCCTGGCTAATTAGTCAGACTTTTAAGGCCCATGGATAGACTCAAACTGAATAGACATTGGGGTAAGCTTAGTTCAGCTCCATTCACATGTTCCTTGCTGATGTGTGTCAAGAAAAAAGACAGAGGTTTCCGGCTTCTGTTTAGAACCCTTTAGTGTAGGAAGCTGCAAGGGGGCAACGTTGAAAATGACAAAAATTTAAGGAAAATGGCATAAATTTAAGGCAACCGTATCACATTTACATGTGGGCAGACGGTTCCTGAAGGTACCCTGGAGGCATACGCCTTCAAGGTTTATAACTGTGCTATGCTTCTCTGGAGATAAGAATACTTGCATTATAACTGATCAGTGTACATTAATTGTGAATGGAACAAAATTATTAGTTAAAAATAGGAGTATTCACTGAGCTGTATCTTTTCACAGAAGTGGAAAAGACCAAATGTCAGCAAGAACAAGAACGAGCTCTTGGAAGTGGAGGCACTTTCTTCCCAAGAGAAATGAGAGTTCGTCAATTCATTCCCCAGTGTGATGAGCATGGGAATTACCTACCCACTCAGTGCCATTCCAGCACTGGATATTGTTGGTGTGTAGATAGGGACGGAAATGAAATTGATGGCACCAGAAGTGGCCCAGGAGTTCAACCTCCATGTAAGTGGTTAAAGCACGTATTTCTTGTGGGGGTGTCTCTTTTGGAGTGCGCTGTCTCCCAAATGCAGGGCTTGGTCACATTCCTGAGATACAGTGCTGGCTTGGAGCAGTGCAGACCTCTGTTATTGCAGTGATCATATGCCTGGTGCTGCAGCCCTTTGGTAACTCCAGCATATACTGTTCCTCCAGCCAGTGCATCTGGACAGCTGTGGTGAGCTCTGAATAAGATGGTTGTCTGTGTTCTTCCCTGCCTTGAAACCGCTGGGGTCCCTTGTAGTCCCTGCCTTCTGGGAGCTGTAGCCAATCTGAACGTGTGGCAACTGACTGTAGCCTGAGGATATGAAGGATGTTCCTTCCTACATTTTCCTCACTTCAGCTGCAAAATAGCAGGAATGTTCAAATAAACTTTTTCAAACATTTGAAGGAAAGCAATTAAAGAGCTAAACATGGAAAGAGTATTATGTCGACTGCTCCTTCTCTGTCATCTAAGGAGAAAAATTCAGAAGCTTTCTGCGTCTGATTGTAGTTGTTAGTTTCCGCTTATAGGGCTCTTTCCTTCTAAGAAGCCTAGCTGTAATTGTGTCCCTGTAAATAACATGGAGCTTTGTTATGTTGTACAAGCTAATATGATTTTCATCTGTTTCTTTATCCACAAGGTCTGAGCACAGCTGCTCCTCCTGTTGTTATTGGGCCCTCTGTTCGACCGGATACAGTACCTCTCCCCCCCGGAACGCACTTGCTCTTTGCCCAAAGTGGGAAAATTGAACATGTTCCACTAGAGGGAAACAACATGAAGAAAAACAGTGCAAAAGCACTCTTACATATTCCAGTAAGTACTGTTCTATAAAGGGCTGTGGAAAGAACTGCTACAAAGATGAAAGCAAGAGGGTTGGTTTTCTATGTTATTTGACTATTTAAGTTCCAAACTCAGTTTTTACTCTTCATTAAAATTTTAGTATCCTGTCACTTTGTCATTGGAAAATTCTTGACCTGATTAGTAAAGAACCGTAAAGCGTGAGCTATAGAAGAAACTATTTGCCTTTAAAGGAAGGGATCATATGGCAAAAATCTAATATTTGTGATCTCATATGCCTCCAAGAGCTCATCATACAAACATTGCTGCACTCACACTTTCATTGGCTTTCTGTTCATTTCTGACTTTGGTATAAAACACCAAGAGTCCTGGAAGAGCAATAGGAAAGGCACTTTATTCTCGTTCTCCCTCAAAATTCTGTCCCAAGTCTTATTCATTCTGTGTTCTTCAGTCAGTACCGTGCACTTCTTGGCTATAGATGTATAGAATTTTTTTTTCCTGTTTCCATCGCCATTTGTAGGCCCAGTGGGTGGTAATTTTTTCCCCACGCTTCTCACCACTATCTTAAAAATCTTATTCCTTGAAAATGAATCCCTGATACTGAGACTCTATCTTTTCCAGCATCACATTCATTTTTTCTGTGTGAAGCCTGGGTTTTCTGTTTTCACTCCAGTGTTACTAAATTTATGGTAACTACCAATCCCAGGTAGTGTGCCCTGCACCTCTGTGTGTTTCTGTGAATATTTACTAAACCTAACGCTGACTGAATTACACAGAGCCGGTTCAGTGAATAGTACCACAAACTGTGCTGTGCTATCAGGGAAAAATCAAGCTTCTGTGCCTTATCTAAAGCACTGCTACAGTCATGTTTTAAGTAAAATATGATGTGCAAATAGGGTAGTTACACTGATACAGAGGCACAATTCTGAATCCTTGTCAGCTCGTCTTATTACCTTCCTGTTCTAGCTTACATAAATTAATTAGGAGTGCCTTCAGGAAAGAGCTTCCAAAAGATAGGATGCAACTCTTAGTTAAAACTTTAAATGAAAACTAAACTTTTGTGTTTTGCTAACAGTGCTGTCTCTGTGTTTGGTTTTCTTTTTTAAGAAGATGTAAATTTCTGTAAATATTAGACCACTTGTGTATTTGGGAAGTGGCAGTGTATAGCAGCGTGGAGATGTTCAGATTGTTTTATGATGTACAATTTTAACGTAGGCTCAGAAATAAGCAAATCTGTTTTAATGCATGCTTTGGGAAGAAACATGCTTAGACGGTCAGCAGCTTTCTAAGAAGGCACTATCTTCCATTTTTCATCCAGTGAACGAGGATCTTAAGTTAGAAAAGCATCAAAAGCGACAGGCTGAGGGATCAATGTGAAATTAGTATTTTACCCAGAAAGTCTTTTTCATTTGCTTGGAGGAAAGTATTTCAACTCTAGATTCAAACTCTGGTCCCTTTTTCTTCTGCCTAGACTATTCCGTGTGTATGTTCCATGTCCCTGAGCGTATTCACTGCAGCAGAGTGGTTTCTGGAGTGTTTTTTTTACTGGATAAACTGTTTTTTATGCTAAAACTTTGCTAGAAGTTTTTTGACCCTAGTGATGGTACATAGGTAGCACTGTTGAAATGCTGCCACTGTGCGTGGATTGGTGAACACAGAACAGCAGTGAGACTTCATGGAGTCATTATTCCTGCTAGAAGGCAAAGAATGATTGAGAGGTTAAAGTAGGTGAGGAGTAATGCGGTAAAATAACAGCATGAACCTTCCTTAAAAGGATATGCAGATGAAATTGTGGAATTGAGACCTGCAGTTCACTAATATGTACGATGCTTCTTTAAAGTAAAAGAATTGCAAATGGTATCTGCTAGTTAAAAGAGACTTATAACTGAAAATATTATTCTAAGCTACCCTGCAATGACTGCCCCCTTACCCTTTTCTCTGCCCACCTTCCCCCAACTCTGTCCCAGAATGTTATTTTTTCAACCTTGAGACTTAGGCCTATAGGCTGGTACTGCTGGCAAATAATTGTTATTTAGTGTGAGCTGTGCTAATTTACTTGTTGACCAACAGGACAAAGTTATTATTGGAGTTGCATATGATTGCATGGACAAGATGGTTTACTGGACAGACATCAGTGGCCCTTCAATCAGCAGAGCTAGCTTGCATGGTGGAGAGCCTACAACCATCATCAAAACAGGTAGCAACATAAGTTTCTTCATCTTGCTCTGCCCTAGGAATGGCAATAGGGACTTGAATTTAGTAAGAGACACTGTCCAGGTGTTGCCTGAGCTCTAGCATTACCAGTTGGTACTAGCTGGATAAGCAAGAACCAAAAAGCGTGGATAACTTAAAACTAAGTAAGATCCATTTCCTCTGCAATAGCACTTCATTGGCTTCCTCCTCCTGAGATGAGCAAGAAGTCTATTCTTTGTATATAGCCTAAGTTTAAGGCCAGGAATGGGAGCAGCTCATCAGTGAGGTGTTTTTATCCTTACAGTTGCTGTTGCAGAATACTGTACCTATGTAACCATTGCATGTTTTGTGAACATCACTGGGGACACTTTAAAGTAAGGTTGGGGGATTTGAAGAATGAATCAAATTGCTGCGGTGTTTTAAAGCACATGTGAAAGTACTAACAGGTGCAGGGTTCCCAGCCCCACAGTTTGGGCTTTTGAGCGTGTCCCAGCTGACTCTCCCACAAATGTTTAGAGGGATTCTTACCCATTTACAGTCCTAAACTGTGCTCATGTTCTTGCTGCATTGAACAAAGCAAAAAAACCCTCCTTTGAATGCTTTGTCGCTTCTAAGAAAGGGATCTTGAGGCAGGATTGAGGTCTTGTTTACCACCCTGTAGCGCTCTCTGTCTGTGGTGGCAACCTTCAGGGTGCCACCAGTGCGAGGCAGAACAACTAGTACTTCAAAGGCAAATTTCCCAGGTCATGATGCACGCTCAGGACCTCACTTTCCTGTGATGATTGATTGCCAACGCTATGCTATGCCAGCCTGGCAGTGTCTCTGTAGCCCACCTGTTTTATAGTAATGTGTCAGCCACACTGATCAGAAAGGGTGGTCCAGCATCTTGTCTGAAAGGCTCCAGTGCCCCTGGCCATGAGGAGTGGAACATATAGGTAGCCTAAGCTCAAACTGCTGTAGATGGAAACATTATTCCTGGTTACAATGATTTAATGGCTCCAAAATGTATATATGTGAAGGGGGCAAAAAAGCATAAGTAAAGATAAAGTTGGAAAGAGTTAGCAGTTTGGGTGAGTTTTTTATGGAGGAAAATCATGCCTTATCTGTGAGAGCTTTTCAACAGAATCAGTGAGCATGTGGGTAAGGGTGATCCGGTAAGTACAGTGTACCTGGATTTTCAAAATGCTTTGGCGAAGTTCTTCACAAAGGGCCTGCGAATAGACTAAGTTGTTATGAGATTAGGGGGGTGGTCCTATGCTGGACTAACAGCTGCTTACGTTAAGTGCCAAAGGGTAGCAGTAAATAGCTGATGTTCACAATGGAACTAGGTAATCATCATATCCTAGGTCATGTGCTGGGACAGACCCATATTGTTTAACGTATTTATGATCTGGAAAAGGGGATGAGTGGTAAGTTGTCAGTTTGCTGTTGGACAGGTATTGAATGTAATTAAAACTAAAGCCGACTAAAGAGTTATAGAAAATATAAATATACAACCATCATGAATATGAAAAACTTTTCTAAGTGGAGTGGAGTGAGCACAAGGACAAGTGGTGAACCAAGTGAATATGTGGGCATTAAAAAACTACAGCAAAAGTAGCCGGAGGAACTTGAAAAGTACTAGAGTCCTCAAGATACGGGAAGAGTAAAGGCAAGACACTGGAGTAGGTCGCCCTTGGTTTTGATCCTTTGCAGCTGTTGTCACAGAAATTTAGGAAATTATTTTAGCAAAATGATCAACCAATTTTAAAATGGTACAATGAATTTACCTTTGTTTTGTTTTGGGTGCGTTAAGTATCAGCACTTGGAGTTTGTGTTTCAGAATAGCCTTTGTTTGCTGTGACTGCATTCAGGCTTTTAGAGGCAGCTGAGAGATAGGAGCAGCTGGGATCCTAATATTGCCCTAGGAGGCGGGAGGGAGAGCTTAAAGCCATCCCTAACTAATGCAGCAGCTATGGAGCTTGGCCTTTCTGTCCAACTTGATGGCTGAGATACTTGTGAGACTTTATTTTCATCCTAATATGTTTAATCTAAAAGGGTCTCTAACTCCTAGTGTGAGTGTATGGCTCTATAACTACGAATTCAGTGGGGGAAGGGTTTCTAATTTCCACTATTGATATAGAGAGAGTGTGTGTGTGCGTATTGAAAATCTTCCAGTCTATAATATATTTTAGAAATATTCATGAAAGCTTATGATTAAATTTGATTATTTCAGGTTATACAAGGTGCCTACAACATAGCAATGCCGTATGGAAATAATAACCTTTTGGTTTTCTTCATCTGCAAAAACGTCATATGTGTAAAGGCATCTTACGACTTCTGTTGTCCTGTTGCTTGTGTAGAATGTGGATGGCACTCCTGAAGACACGTTAAGCGGAGCTGCTTTTTACTTCCTGTATGGAAACGTAAACTGGCTTTTCGATAAGGAGTCAGAGCAACACTAGGCTGAGTACTCAGTATCTGAATGGATGTTTTCTTTGCTGGGCATTGCTAGCCAAAACTGAAACTCTAAAAATTGTAGGAAAAAGGAAAATGTCTCTCTCTGAGAAGACCCGTGAGAATTTTTGACTTTGTTCTGATCTTTGTCTTTTTGCCCCTGTGAGCTGCAGCTGCTTGTTTCAGTTCACATGTATTTTGGTGGAATGCACTTTTTTTTTTTTTTTTTGTTAAAGCTCTTGTGATTCAGGTTGGGTTGCTTTGCAGAGACATGTTTTATTGTGGGGCCCCATCCAGTTCTCATCTGCTTCTGCAGCTGTATGGCCTGTGGAGGCTTTCTGAGCTCTGCAGCTGTGAAGGCAGGTCTGGAAGGAGAGCTTTCCCCTTTGTCATAATTGCCTAAATCGTATCAGCCCTACATGTCTGTACAAGCCTGTCTTATTTCCCAGGGACAGAACCTGTGACAGAACCTGGCCTTATGGCAATATAGCAGGAACGCAGTTGTGCTCCTGGAAAGATGGTGAGGTGGAGGGCGGTGATACATATAGCCTGTATATTTACTTACCTCTTTATGGGGGCCAGTTTCTTCTGGCTGGTTGTCAGCCAGACAGGAAATAAGTTTATTTTAGACTACTTTAAATCTCCTGGCTTATAGCTGAAAAAGGAAGTTGGTCAGGGAACAGGGACTCCTGGGAACCAGTGGCAGCAGATCTCTCGCCTGCTACCTTCTTCTGTTTTCTAAAAGAGACTGGGAACTCCTTTGCCACCACTCAGTCAGTGTTCTTCTCATCCCAGAAGCTGGCTGGGGATTGTCCTCATCATTAGCTCAAAGTGAGGCCACCTTCAGCAGCTCCTGCCTTTAGCAAAAAGGAGGTAGAAACATTTCTGGGTCTGATTTACATGTGAGGTCTTTCGTTGCAAGTGACGGGTTTAGCTCCACAGGGGAGCTTGGGGAAATAAAAGCAGTGGTGTGAGGTCAGTGCACCTAAGTTAAAGTATGTCTCACTGCTCCCGAGAGGAGTACGGAGTGAGCTGGTTAGCGTTTACTTTGTTGGGAGCCCCGTTGTGTGTGAGCTGTGAGTCAGAAGCAGTGAAATGCTTGCCCACATATATTTGTTCGTTTCCACCTCTTCAGCAGTGGACATAAATCCAAAGTGGCCTGTGTCCAGGACAAGTTTAATCCATCCAGATGAGACAGCAGAGGCTATTTAAAGTATTGTGCAACTTATTCGCAACAAAGTTGCAGTAGCAAATTTTAGACAGCTCCATCCAGTGTTCTGGACCAAATGTCTTTTCTCCAGAAATGCAGTTTGTGTCGCACATTGTTTGTTTAATGGCTATCAGTAAATAAACTTTAGAATTAATAGAAGGCCCATATGCCACATTCCATCATTCTTCGACGTTTACATGATGTGTGGATTTGCATTTGAAAGTTTCCTTGACAGCTCACTGGTACGAAGGGTCATTTTGCCTCTTTTGGAAGTGACCCCATGCAGTCTTTTCTATTTCTTTTGGAACTGGAATTGGACTTGAAATCTATTTGTACCTGCTTTTGGCTTCCTTATATCCTATACAGCCTACCAGTTCTTTTGCAATGGATGTATGGACCTTGAAAAGCATAGAACAATTTTTACATTGGCTAAATTAAACCTTCAAGTACTATGTATTTATTCTGCATCCTTCATTTGAGTTAGAAATTACTAAGGCTAAAGCAGTAAGGTCATTATTTGCTATTTCCTGTTGCTTTTGGAACAGCTAACTGTTCGAGGAAAGCTGCGCACATACAGTACCAAAACATGTTCCAAAAAAATTGCTCTGCAAAAACAAAGTAATGGATCTAAATTCCATCAGTTAGCTAATGTCATTGTCCGCAGTGCTTTGGAGCTTGATTATCTTTTAAAGCATTGCATTGGCTAAAATTAGAGAAAATCCATTTTTCAGAGGGGTGCTGTGTATGCCAGTACCAAAGAAGGGGGGAACATTAAAGATTATAAAATCCATTCTGTGTCCTGGCTTGCTAACAAGGATAAAGCAAGATTCTGATAAACTCTGCTCTGTTTTCTCTGCCATCAACTCTTATGTACCCCTCCCCACCCAGACAAGTTTATGTGCAGATTTGAGAAGCATAATGAGTCTGTTCCTAAGTTTATTATTCAGTAAAATAGTTAGCCCAGTATTATATATATCACAAAGAGTAAGTGAATATCTCAACTCTCAGGCTGTCTTGTAATTGCTGTTTAGTAACCCTGCTTGAAAGACATGTGAAATCCAAGGCTTATGTAAAGGGGATACTCCAAGAGGGGAAACACTGCAAAAAAGTTTGGGAGAAAGCTATCAAGCCAGGAATTCCCCCAGTCAGGCACCATCCAGGTCAAACCGGTTTACTCATTCCTAGGACTCTGTAAGAGCCAAGGAGATGCTGAAGCTCAAAGGTGCAAGAGATGCAAAGAAGCACAAAGCTAGGAGAGTGAAGAAGACTGTGTAGGAGGTGGGGAAGAGGGCTTCTGAGAAGGGAGGAATCTACTCCAAAGGGTGTAGGTTGTGAAATGTTTCTGCTTATTCACTGTTTATCAATAATCTTGTTTGTTTGATCAAACTGGTTGCTTCATTAGGTCTTGCTAATGCAAAAAATAAGCTTTTTTTTTTTTGGTCCCCTGACAGCCCTCCAGTCCTGATTCAGAGTTTATTGTTCTGGGGGTCAGGGTGCAGCAGAGCAGTCTATAAATAAATAGGGTTAGACACTGGTGAAACACTATGATACTGAAGAGAAGACTGGCTGATTCAAGCCTTTCATGTTATTCAGCAGTTTCTGTTGGCTGGCACCTGGGCAGTTTTGACTCTTAACTCCACCAGTGTCATCTAGCTGCATTGATTTTTGCATCTCAGTAAATCAATGCCTGTGTAGAAACAAAGAGCTGGGGAGGCTGCTGCCTGGTTGCTGTCCTGCCATTTGGCCATCCTTTAGCCCATGAGGCACTCCAGTGCTCCAGCCACTTAAAGGTGTACTGGAATTCCAGACAAAATTCTGATGTGTTCAGTAGTGACATAAGTCACTTCTGTATTTATTAGCATAGGGATTTGCTGTCGTTCCCTGATTATAGATCTTTTATTTATGCATCATAAAGAGACATCTCCAAGAGTTCTGTGTGTTTAAACTTCATAAGGCAAAATACGTATTCCTCTTCTGACAGGCTAACATACTCCATATGAAGTGACTTTTATTGGACCACAGTTAGAAAACTGAAAGACGACTCTTCTCAATTAAAAGCTGGGAATGCTTATGAGGCTGATACTGTGTATTGGGAATAAATGTGATGGCTAAGATTGTTTTCTCTGTTCTCTCGCAGACTTGGGGAGCCCTGAAGGAATAGCTGTAGATCATCTAGGTCGCAACATCTTCTGGACAGACTCTCAACTTGATAGAATAGAAGTGGCTAAGCTGGATGGGCGCCAACGTCGTGTCCTCTTTGACACTGGCCTGGTGAACCCTAGAGCAATTGTAGCAGATCCTATGAGAGGGTACAGATATATTTTCAAGATATGCATGCAAAACTTGATTTTTTTATTTTAATATTTTAACAGGAGCATACACTCTATGAATGTGTTTTTAAATTGTCTTCAGACAACGATAGGACTTTATTTTCTTAGAACAACTAACAAACAAAAACTGAATAAGCTACTTGAGTGTCCTATATCCGAGTAGTATATTGGAAATAAAACTTGTTTAAAAAGCACCTAGGTAGTACCATGATATTTTATTGAGAAGACTATCAAATGCTTGTTTGTACCTTCCTTTCAGTACATTGTTTGCAAGATAACAAGCATTTTCCCTATTTAAAATAATTTATTTTTGCGAGATTACTGGATTAAAATTCTAGATTAAGCAATTTGATAGTTTCATTTCCCGAGTGACAGCCATTTTTTCTTGTAGTGTCCCTTCTTCAAAAACTCCTATAGTGTCTTTACTGTCATCATTTTCATTCCTGTCATTCAGTTGCCTGAAAAGGTCCTATTAAACTTTTATCTGAAGATACAGATAACTATATACTGTAAAACTGGGCTTGTAAAATGCAGTCAGAGAAATAGTACTGTGGGGTTTCAGTAGGACAGTTGAAGTTTTTTTCAGGCTCTGACTCCAGTCTGCAAAAATGGAAGCAGACATGCTTTTATGTAGTCTTTGTCTGTTGACGTTGTTTTCCCTGAGTATTGGAAGAAGTACAGGGAAAATTAAGACTATTAAAGCACCCATGGTAGTGCTGAATGGGTGTTCATTAATTTCTGAGCTTGCCTGCTATTGTCCTGGTGCAACTTTCTGCAGCAAGGCCGCTGCTGAGAAGAGACATTTCAGTCAAAAATACTCAGACGCACAGAAGCAGAGAGGCTTTCTTTTTGATCATGAATTTCTGGAAAGCTCTAATAAATGATTACTCAGTTGATGTGAAGCATTTGGAATGCCGTTCTGTGAGAATTCCTTTGTGAACACATGTAGTGTATTGTTCAGGGAGAGGTTTTTGGAAGATGCATCCTCATTCCAGATGTTTGCGAACAAAATTTGTAGTGAAAAAATAATGCATACAGCACTTAAAATTGCAGGTGGTCTAAAGTTAAATGAAAAAATAATGATCCTGACTTCTCTCATTCATATAATGTAATACAAACCTTTCCAATCAGTTAGACAGTTGTGAAGTGAGAACATCTGTGGATGAAGATCTAGTGACAGCAGAATAGGGAAAGCAAATGCGCTTAATTGTGTGAAGGGAGAGGAGATGCACAAGCATAATCAGACTGAGGGAGGAGACCTCTGTTCCATGCAGAACCCCGCTGACTATGGCAGGGTTCTGGGTTCAGGTCAAACAGCACAGACTTCTCAGTTTCCCAGTAGATTTATTTTTTAGTGTTATGGAATGAACAACAAAGGTGCTTGCTTTGAGGGGTCATGTTAATTCTCAGCCACAGAGAGCGCATCCAAAAAAAAAAGGGGTCACTAACAAACAACTGTTAATAATAAAACATTATTGAACTAATCACCATGGGTTTTTCTCATGACCATAAACTACTCTGATCAGTTCTGTTGTGAATTGCTTATTTGGTGCACTGAAAAGGGAAATGTGATTTTGAATGGATCCCATAAATGTGTGCCTAGTGGTCCTGCTGCTTAACCCGAGCAGACGTTACGGGCAGCTGGGAGGGGAGCTCTAGGCATACACTCTGAACAATACTCATAGCTGTTGAAATAGGGGTGTTTTTGCCTGGCATCTTGCAAATAACATACACAATGTAGGCAAAGCATTTTGTGTGTGTGTGTGTGTGCACGCATGTGCGTGCTTCTTTTCTTTGTTTTGTAATGGGGTTTATAACATTTGATACATCTTTGCTATACTTCTCTTACTTCTGTATTCAAGTGCAATATGATTCTTATGGCTTTAACTAATTTTTTTTGTTTTTGTTACTTTTGTTTCCTTTGAGTTTTCCTTAAATTTTGGGATCTACCACTGTCTTAATTCTTGCCTTTTTCTTCCTCTTAAGAAACTTGTATTGGACTGACTGGAACAGAAAAGCTCCCAAAATTGAAACCTCGTACATGGATGGCACAAACAGAAGAATTCTTGTTAAAGATGATCTGGGGTTACCGAATGGGCTGACATTTGATACGTACTCCTCAGTGCTGTGCTGGGTAGATGCAGGTAAAGAGATGATGAAGTGTATCTTCATAATAATAGAAGATTTAAGTATGTCCGATCCTGAAAAGATACACAGCTAATTAATGTTTATAATTCTTTGGGCTACATCTTAGACTTCACACCTTGCTCTTTGGCTTTAATAACCTCACTTTATTTGTTACTAGCACTGTAGAATTTGCATGAGAATGTGTGCAAACTGAAAGATTTAAATTCTGACCAAGTAACTTTCTAGGAATGTAACAGATTTACATCTATGTTGCCTATATGCAGATATATTTTTAGATAGTATTTAGCCCTTTGTATAAGAAGTTGTGTCGTCATAGATAAGAGTTTAAGACCAGAAAAATACATTGGCTCATCTAACCTGGCCCTATAGAATATCATCCTGTCATTACAAAGTTACATTTGTCTCTTTTTCTGTTTTCCTTAATCTTGAAATCCCCTACTGAAGAGAAACCTAGAGCTGTTTATGCTCACTGGCAGTGTTCTCCAGGTGTGTAGTAGGATGCTTGTATCTGTACTAGGAGACTCAGCTTGTGGGTGTTGCCCATGGCTATACTGGACACATGAGAACCTGTAAGTTAGGTGTTGTGCTGAACAGCATTGTCACACCAAAGTACTTTCACATCTGGTCTTTGACACGTACACATATGTGGCGTGGGCAAGGCTTTGGCCAAGTAGGGTTCTGGAAGACTTCCAGGAAGTTTTGCTCTGTTCATGCTTGTGTGCTTGTGCTTATCCTTCCTCCCCCATGAGAGATCTCTTGGTGTTGTACAAAGACTTAATTGTTTCACTGTACTCAGGCACCAAGAGACTGGAATGCATGAACCCTAATCAGCTTGGTCGACGAAAGATTATTGAGGGAATTCAGTATCCTTTTAGTGTTACAAGCTATGGGAAGAATTTATACTACACAGACTGGAAAAGGTATGTTATCTGCTAAAGAAATTATGGAGTGCTTTAATCTGCTCTTGCCTCTGGCAGAAACTGAAGTAAACACTGTGTTTCTCATTTTTGACCACTCGTGCATTTCCCTTCCCTTTTTTTTTTCCTTTCCTGGCAATAGCTGATGCAGGGTGGAATGGATATGTAGAGTTGACCTATAGATGCTGGCAGTTAACTGAGGGGAGGGAGTGTCAAATTGATTGTTTGTCCTCCAAGAAAATGCTTTTAATCCTGAATATATTTTGGGAAAGGAGTGGGAGTTAATATGTTTGCCCCATGGCTGTACATACTGTGTTGTAGAGGGCAGAAATTAGTCATTTGAGGCTTTCTATCCTCAGTATTAACAGAACGTTCAACAGGAAATAAGAAAAAGACATTTTTACTGTCTTGACCACGCTGTCTTTGTTGCAAATGATTTGAAACATGTAGACATTAGAGTTTATTAGCATTTCCAAAAAAAAAAAATCCAGGTTATGTATTTTTAAATCTGTATTTTTACTTGAGGTTAATGACGATGTGGGCTGTATCTACAAACCTGTTACAGAAATGATTCTATCAATTGCAGCAGGAAGAGCTATTAATAAGGGTAAGAATTTCGAAGCTAGGACGTAATAGCTCTGAAATGTTGTTGTAGAATAGTCCTGTTTAAATAAGAAACAGTGTTACAGTTCTGTCAGTTGACTGCACTTTTGTTTCTAGAAAGAAATGACTGCTTCTGAATAGCTGTATTCCTGTCTTCTGGATATCAGGCTCCAGATGAAATACAACATTGTCCATAATCATTACGCAGAATAACTAATGTCAGCTATGCCACTGGAAGTATTGGAGAGGCAGAATATGGAGAAGTGTGTCAAAATTACCAACAGTTGTGTTCTTTTAAAGGGACATAACGCTATGTTGGAAGTGGCTCCCTGCTGCTAGATCTCTTTGCTGCCTAGAATGAGGGTTGTAATGTGTTTGAGTTGTCCAGGAAAGATTGTGTCTTGAGGGATTTCTGCTTTTGGAGTCACTGCTTAATAATGCAAAAAAAGAGCTCCAGATTCCTTCCCCCTTCCCCTCCTTATTTTCTGCTCGCTATACTTCCAAGTTCATCTCACTTCTGTGTATTCTCTCCTACATACTGAAGGGATGCTGTTGTAGCCGTGGATCGCACAGTTTCGATAGAAAATGATAACTTCCAGCCTCACAAGCGTTCCCGTCTCTATGGAATCACTACAGCCTTTGCTCAATGTCCAGGAGGTAATCCAGATGTTCCTCAAGTTTTTCCAGCTGTGCAGCACCTCAGCATAAAATGAATTTGCCAGCAGCTCTCACTGGGAGCCTGCAGACCAGTTTAGGTAGTTATTTAGGTAGTTAGTGAAGAACTGGTTTTTGCTTAGATATTCTGCTTGCTGAGAAACTAAAAACCACTTAAAATTTGTTCCATAAAAGCAGTTTTGGTTGCCGTATGGAACCAGAATGGAGAGGGAAAAAGGGGCCTATTTTGTCTTTTATGGAAGGATCAAGACGAGGATTATGAACAAGATGAAGATCTGATGTGGCGAAAGCTGTTATGTTGCCGTCATCTAAACTGAATGCTCTATTCATGGCTAGGGCCTTTTATCTGCTTTTTCTTAACTTAAAACTATAGAAACATCATGGTCTTCCAGATGTCCTTAATGGGATCCAGTATTTTAAAAAAGGAATGTTCAGAAAACAGCAGGTGGTAGGGTGGGTGGACTGATCTTTCTGCTCTGTGAATGTTAAGCTTCCCAGATATATTATTGACCTAGCCTCATGTGAAGCTTAGAAGAGAGGAAGTTGATAGTCTTGAAATAACAATTTCAAGGGAATTTTTGGGAAGCAATACCACTGTTCAGTTATGTTGTTTTTAGCAAATCACAGTTAGAAGAGTTCACGTTTTTATTATTATGATGCTGCTAGAGTTGTAGTGGTTCTGGTCTTTTATTTCAGACCAAAAAAAAAAAAAAACCTCTAAGATAGCTTGTGTTCAAATTGTATATGTTTTTTATTGTACATATTGAATAATTGAAGTGAATATTTGGTTCAGAGTATAAAAAGATGCATATAAATATCATACTTGAGAAACCAGTTATTTTGTTATTGCTAATTAATTCACAGTTTGATTGTGGTAGGCAATGTATAACAAAACAACACTGTGTGATCTGAGTAAATACTTACGTTTATATTATTCAGAACCTTGACATCATTTCTCTCTCGTCATATGTCTGTTAAGTGTTTCTTTTTCTCCGACTGATTTCCTGTCACTTTCTTTCCATAACACTGTCTTCCTTTTCGTTTTATCCCTCAACATCAATATTCTTCTCTCCTGCCCCTATTTTTTTTATTTGTGTTAATGGATATTTCTCTTTATTTTTGTACTGGCAGCTACCCAGGGATGATATCCTGTAGAATTTTGGACTTGGTCCTCTTGTGTTTCACTTCCATATTGTTTCATTCACTGTCTCTTCATTCTAATGTCTGTGACCACTCAGCCATTTAATCAAGTGCATTTCAGGAACAGCCCAGTTTTTTCATTTTGCTTCTCCTGCTCTGTCCTGGATATCTGGATCATTGTTTGAGGTGAATATCAGAAGCTGACACAGAGGATGTGATGACTCCCATCTCCCCAAAGCATAGCTTTGTTTCACTCTGAACCTCAGTGTGGCTTGTCTTTCTAGTGTAGCCACGAAATCTGCACTTTTGGGAGATGCGTTTTGTGTTTTTATTCTTGTGTTTCTTTAACATTTTACATCTCTGTTCTTTTTCAGGACATAACTACTGTACAGTGAATAACGGTGGCTGTACTCACCTTTGCCTGGCTACCCCAGGAGGCCGTTCTTGCCGCTGCCCTGACAACACGGTTGGAGTGGATTGTATAGAAAGAAACTGAGCATTAAAACAAACGTTAGAGCAGCAGGCTCCTTTTGGAAATGTACTGTAAATACTTCACTCCTGTCAACACAATCAGGCCCTAAAGATAAGTGCTCCACACTGCCAACAACAGGCCACAACAGACGCATGCAGCCATACACACTAGCAGTAACTATTTTGTATCAGTTAGGCAAGACTGGGCTGCCCAGGTTGGGTCCAGCTGCTTCTTGTTCCTTGTAAGACTGTCGTCTTACTTTCAAAGATGAATGTGGGGGCCTAGCTGCACCTGTGCTGGGCTAGGAGACAGTCTCTCTTGGCAAAATTAAAGTACAGAATAGAGAGAGGATGGTGTGACTCAAATCCTGAGACTGGGTTGTACCTTGGAACATGTAGCAGTTCACCTGCATAGTGGCATGCTTAGCCCGGCACAAGTGCAGCTGGTCCACAGCTTTAGCTGAGAAGCAACCACGGGTCCCAAGGATGAATAGATGTGGGTGAGAACACAATATCACACATCTAACGCCTAACTTCATTTCTTCCACTGCCAGCATCCTCCCATTTTCAAAACTTGAATCTTACCTTCTAAGTGCTACAGAAATACCTTATCCATGTGCTGACAGGGTAGTTCTTAAACGCTGTCTGTTTTTAACATTTTCACTGGTTTTCAAGAGATGTGTTTTTTATCTGGCTGGTGTGGGTTCCAGAGTAGTTTCCAAAAATCCCCCAAACAGACTTTAGATATGGATCTCAGTTGTTGGTTGTTCATCAAAGAACGGGTGTTGATTCGTTTGAAGGTCCTTGTTTTCTAAAGAGACAGGGTCAATTTTTTTTGTTTCCTAAGGGTTTTTTAATAATGTTTCTGTGTTTGATCCTATATTATAAGCCTGAAAATGATCTTTGAATCTCATCCTAGCCATCTTTCTTCTTTAGCAAATTTGACATGCCTTTTTGTAGACTATGAGAAATCATGGCAGTTAAAAAACTGATCTTTCAGAAAGGTCACCTGTGTCTTGGGGCTTTAGAAAACAAGTAATGATGATGCCCCATTCATGTGCCAATGTTCAGTAAGAGCAAAAAGCTATGCTGGAAATCAAAGCAAAGGTGAAATGATTTTATTATCACCACTGAGTTTGGAGTGGGGAGGGAAAATCTAAACGCACATTCTTATGTCAAAGTAGCAGTATGTATCTGTGAGTGAAGTTTAGCTTGCACACTGTATGTTGAGAGGGCAGCTTACCTACAACAGCAGAAGCCTTCTGTCAAAAAATAACCCTTTACAGTCTCATGATGAGAGCAGTAAGCTATTAACCTCCCCATTTCCCCACTTCCTCTTCAAACACTACAGTCCCTGGGCAATTCTTCTCCAGGTCTTAACAGTTTAAACAGAGCCAATTCTGAGTCTTAACTGTGTGACAGCTTTCTCTTTAATTATATATTTATCATAAAAGTAACAAATTATAGAAAACATTTTAAAGATTTTTTTTATAACTCTTCATAACTGTTAATTCATTTTACTCAAACACTAAATCAGGTATGTCTTATTGTAAATATCAAAAATGCATTGAAATGAAGGTGCTTGATAACTCTTTCTCCAGAATTACTCGCGTATCTGGTGAAATATTAAAGTTTACACTTTGTACAGGTATCTACAGTACAGCCAATAAAGATTTTTGGTTTTTTATTTTCTATTAAAAAAGTGTGCCTGCAGAAGGAAGTGATATGTGGTGTCTCAGTTCTGTTTTCCTGTACAGTTCTGGTTTTTAGCTAACTCTTGTAGCCAGTAATGATACTTCTGTTCAAAGGCACAGCTCTATAGGGAAAAACTGCTGTTTGGTCTTCTGTATTTTAAAATCAGTAGGATACTTTTATTCAAAACAAAATATGTGAGAGTACTTCTTAAAGAATACACACCTTCCTCTATTTTGTGACTTGGATGACACAGACTTTTTATTAGTTGTTAACTGCTGTTTAACATTGTCAAGTAAACATGAGTCAGTTATAAGTACTTTAAACTTCTGCATTGATCCAATTATATTGTGAGGATTAGATTGAGTGGGGAGTAGAATTTGTTACTTTGCTCAAAGAAGCTCTGAGTGCTGAAGTGTTTGTTTGGTTTTTTTTGATGGTCCACTGGCATCATCATGCGGCTAGAGCTAAATGATGGGTTTGCTTTGCTGCCTGGCACCATGGCACTGTGTGGCTGCAGGTTTGCTGTGCCTGCAGGACAATTGCAAGCTAACTGAAGCGTGGCCTGTAGGAGATGGTGATGCTGAGGTTTAAGCTCCTGCACCTTTACTGCTACAGTGTATCAGTGCCTCTGTGGGGATAGCAGAAGGCTGTGTATTGGTTAGTACTGCGCAGATGGAGTCGGTACTACCAAAGTTAATAGCTGGAGAGCAGCACGCCTAGCAAGTGAACCATGGGGAAGGAAGATGGGCAGTGAGACTGCAGGCAGGGCTGCTGGGATCTAAGGGGTTGCATGGAGTTGCAGAAGAAGATTGATGCTGAGCCATGCTGGGAGCTACTCGGGGAATTGCAGGTTATTTGGCCTTTAGAGCATGCATGGGGTTCATTCTTTACTAAATCTTTTTTTTGTTTTTTAATTCTGATCCTTCAAAATTGATAATTACCTGCTTTGTGTTTGAACTAGAACAATATTCCTCCTTGTGCATTATGAAAATTATTGTTTACTAAGCCCAGGTTAATTCCATGCAAAACAATGAGCAATGACAAAGACGTCAAAGAAGATACACCTCAGCATACAGAGCTTTTAGTCTTAATGTGTGAATCCTAGAGTTCTGACTTAGTCTGTAGAGAGAAACAATGTTCAGGGTTTCAGGCTCCAAAATGAGAAACTTGTTTAAAGCTGAAACATCAGGTTTTATTTCTCAGCAAATGTTCATTGCTAGCTTCAGCTGTTCTAACTCTGTCAGGGTGCAGCAAGGGCAGGCTGTTCCCTCAGGGAAAGGGAGCCAGGTATGGAGTATGATAACAAGGCCAGCAGAGATAGTGGCCTCACCAGCAAGGGGCCAGTCCCACAGTACCTAAGTGAGGTGAGCAGGTGAGGGTAGTCGGGTTCAGTCATGAGACCAGATGAGCAGGCAAGTCTGAAGTGACGGGGCAAGTCCAAAGTCAAGCTGGGAAATTGAGTCAGGGAGAGGATGAGGTCTGGAGACAGTGACCAGGGTCAGACACAGTCCAGTGATTGCCAGGCAAGTCCATAGTAATGAGGCAGGTCTGAGGTCAAGGCAAGGAGGAAATCCATGGGTCAGGGTCTGGATCAGTGGAGTACATCAAGAGGCACAGGCATGTCTACGGTGCAGCTCAAGCAGGTCCAGGGTGAAAGCCTCAGCTTTAAAGCAGCTCTCAAGGGAAGGAGGGTTGCCCTCACTGTGGCCTTTCAGAGGAGCTCCTCTGAGGCTCCTTCTAGTTTTCTTTACACCTCTTATATCAACCAGCTGGCCTTGAGCAACTAACTAGGCGGCTAGTGAAGGAGTAGCATGCTCCAGGCCCTGACACTCTAGAGATTCATTATTCTGATAAATGTCTGCTTCTCCTTTCAATCTTGCTAAATCTTTTGCTCTCTAAAGCATCCTGTGTGTTGAATTCCATATTTTAGTCACAGTCTGGGAAGGGATCTCATCCTTTGATGAGATTTGGTATTAGCCATTTCAGGACATCTGTCTCAACTTACCATATTTTTTCAGTTAAATCTTCAGGAGTATTGTGAATGAGACATCAAAAATGTGAATTTTATGTTTTCTTTCTTCTAACCTTAGAGAGTTAATAGATTTTTTTAAATTATTTTTTGTAACCAGGTGTTTTCCATGCTGTCCTGGGTCTAATTCATCTACCCAATGCATTTCCTTACTGTTGCTTATTAGTGTCTTGACTGTTGCAGTCTTGCTCAGGAGCAACTGAATTTCAGATATATTTTTACACTGTGCATGGTGTTAAAAATGTGTAATGGAAAATGATATGCTTTATTTCATTATTAAAATTAATTTATTTCATCATTATAATAGGCTGGAACTGGCAGTCATCTCAGTCTCCGGTGCTGTGGTGTCTGAAGAAATGATTCAATGTAACTACAGTTCACTTTATTTTCACAGAAGCAAAATAGTAAGTTCTCAAGTTTTGCAGGAAAGGAGAACAATTGGTCCAATGGTTAATCAAAAGACAAACTCTTCTCAGATTTATTGCAGACATAAGTTAAATATTTTGTGAAATGTTTCCACTCAGATCTTCCAGCAAGCATAAAAATATTTAATGGTAAGAAGTAAGGTTTATCAATAAAATAATGTACAAGTAGCAAACGAATGAATTCTATTGAAAGTAGTACTGATTTCCTGATGAACTGATGAGGTGATTCAGCAGTCTTTCAGTCTGAAGGGTATTTGAAAACCCATACTTTTACCTGCTTTTTATCCTCTCTGCTTGTGGTGAAAATCCAGTGTGGCTTGCCAAAAACCCAGCATTCTGTCCAGTATTGTTCCAGGCTGGCAAAGTGCTTACTCTGCAATTCTCCATTTGCACAGTTTTGTCACAACAGATTAAATTTTTAACTTCCAGGCATATAATTAAGAATGACAGGTGATTATTAGAGGATAAGAGGATAATGGCCCTTTGATCACAGTTTCGCACTGCATCAGTTTAACCTATGGTTAAATGCAATCTATTTTTGTGTAGGATTTCATAGTATCTTGCTTGGGAGAAGCATCAGGACTGCACTGTAAAATGGAGATCTTAAAAAATCAAGTGGAAAATACCTCTGGTTATGCATAATACAGCTGTGAAAAGCCCCTTACTTGTCCTGTCTGAATGAACTAAATACTGCCTCCAGAATCCAAGGCCCCAGCTGTGGCTCTGACAGCAATTTGTTCAATAAATGATTGAATCACCTTCTTTGTTTAAGTTCTATTTCACTTGAAATCTGTCCTTTATCTTATCTGTAAGCTTGAGACAGTATGTTAGCAAAGCAAGTGGAAGTTCCCTATATTATTTCCTTCAAATGTACCTACTCATGACTCTGAAACTCTATTTAACTACCAAAAGGCTCAGCTGCCTGTGGAATGCAGTGAGCAGTTGCTACTGTTCTGTGGCAAAGCAGTTGGGCCTGCAGCAATATTTAATGCTCTTCTGTATTGTATTGATACTTTCCTCAAGAAGGATTCTGAAATTAATGAGCGAGGACAAATTCCTGGTCTCACAAGTAGCCAGAATGGCATATTTCGGCCTTTGGTTTCTTCATCTTAAGTATTCACCACCATCCAGTCTCTGTTTATGATGTTGTTACCCACTCTGGTCAGGCAGTGTTTCCCCCCCAATGGGATATGTAGAAGACACATGAATCATACAGAGGAATTGTGTAGTACAAGGCCTTCAACATGAGGAAAACAGCCTGCTGCACAGATGTTGGCAGGGTATACCAAATGGGGGATATGGATCTGCCCCAGTAACTTGTCCAGCACCATTGGGGATGGCAATGGAAATTCTTCCTGGAGCTGAGTACGGGATTACGGAGAAAAGAGAACTGTGGTGCTATAGAAGACAACTGAAGGGGAAGCAGATTTTGAGGCAGTAGATGCAAACGTGTGTGAAGTTGTGGCAGGGGGAACAATTAGCATGATAGTTATAGTACTCATGGTGCTTTTGTGGTCACTGGTTAGTTCTCTCCTTCCCACCGTCTTCCCTGCTTTATGCAGATAAGAAACCTGAGCAGATAGGCCAGAGGAGAGTCACAGTACACTCTCCCCATGTCCCTGCCAAATGGAGGATGTGCTACCAAGCGCTATCTCCCTGACTCCTGATATAGGCACAGATAAACTGGTGAGCCACTGTTGACATTTCATGACACAGCTGCTCTCCCAAGTTCATGCTGCCAAAATGGTGTCTAATCCTTACCTGCCCTACCTCTTTCAAGACTAGATCCCCTAGGTATGACTTTGCAATGCATATTAACTATACACCAAGTGTGTAGAGCACTCTTTAATAATAAACGGCAATAAAACACTAGTCTACTAACAACCTGCTAAATCTATCCAGCAGCTTGAATCCAAGCGTCAGTGATGACACATATGTAAGCATGAGATTGTTTTCCTTGCCCTGTGTTACAGTCTCTCTTACATCTGCTCAAAGGTTAATAACTGGTATCTCATGCATTTTTGATTGATTGCACTTTGATTAATCATTTATCTGAGAGACCTGAGGTCCTATCAAACATATACATATATGGGGTAGCAGCAAAGCACATTGATAAACTCATTCTCTTCCAGGCAGAATATCCCTGTAGGCTCTTGGATCCCAAATGACAGCCAAACCATGACACTGATTTCTTCAAAACAGGAAGAAACTGATGTGCTGTAATCAGTTTCTCTGCTTATATGCCTCGTAACTCAACTCTCATGCCATGCTGACCTTTTTAGCAGACCTTAACTTGTGGAACCAGAAGTTTAACACCTGACATGTCTGTTTGATCCTGTAGTGTGTTAGTGTGGCACGTAACTAAAAGGCAGACCGTAGAGGTTGGTATGTTCTCTGGAGCAATTAAATAAAATGTATTTGGTCCTGGGACAAAAAGATTTGGCATAGTGTGTCTTCTCCAGATAGATGTGTCTGTGCTCTCTCATGGCAGGAGTAACTTTCAGCCGTGTCATATGGCTGAGGTCTTTATGTGCTTTACTGTCTCTGTCTGTAACTTATACTATTTTAACTGGTAGATTTTACTGATTAATTTTATGAACTTGGGAGTCTGGACTTTGTCAGTAAAGTTGTTTTTAATGTTGACCATAAATTAAGACAGAGAGGAGGAAATTGTTCTGTCAGGGGAAGTTCTGCCAGAGAGGTATGTGCTCCCTGTGAAAATTCACACTCCTCACTGGGTGTTCCCCGAAATCCAAACTTTTCAAATACAAATTGGCAATACTTACATTTGCCTGATCCGTCCTTCATTTGTGTACTAGATTCAGTCATCTCTCAGATGCAACCATAGGGTCCAAAATGTCTGTAAATTTACTCTGACACAGTATTTTATTAGTGGTGGAACAAGAAAATTTACCTTCATTTTTGTTCTCTAGTACTGTGACAAATTTATGTTCCTACCATTGTGCAATTCATGTTTTTTCATTTTCAGCTTCATTTTTATTTGAAGGAAGAATCAGACAGGGAAAAGGAACATGTTCTTGTATAAAAAGCCCTTTAAGACATTGTTTAATGAGCAACAAATGCACAACATTAGATTGCTAATTAGTGGCTAGTTAAGGAACATGCAATGCGAGTTTATTCACAGATTTTTATCAGGAATATTTTCTCCTACAGACTCACCTCTTAGACTCATGACCCCCCAAAACCTCGACTCCTAAAGGCAAATTAAAAGACCCAACTCACGTTATATTTTAGTATCTGTGTTAAATATATGTTTTCTTATAAAATTCATAGAGATATTCAGGCATGTCAAATCTCTGAGGCATGTCAAGTCCAATACCCTGCTCAAAGCACAGCCAACTTCAAAGTAAGGATGCTCAGGATCTTATCCAGTCATCTTCTGAAATCTCCAAGGATGGAAATCCCACAGCCTCTCTGGGCCACATCCCAGTGCTGAGCCATTTCGGTTGTGAAGAATTTTTTCCTTAAGTCCAGTCAGAATTTCTTTAGACGATACCAGTGACCTTTGCTTCTTGTTCTTTCCCTGTGTGCCTGTGAGAGGGGTTTGGCTTTAGGAGTCCTCTTTCAGGTAATAGAAGGCACCAATTTCTTCACCCTTGCCTCATATGCCATATACTCCAGCCCCCTAGTAATCTTAGTGGTCCTCTGCTGGACTTTCTCTAGTTTGTGAATATTATTCTTGCCCTGAGGGCACAAAATGGCACAGACATGCTCTAGCTGTAGCCTCACGAGTCCTGGGCAGAGGAGTGTAATTGCTCTTTGTTCCTGACCAAGGTCTTGACCAAAGCTCTTTTACTGCTCACTTGCGATAGTGAATGCAACTTTTAGGAAGAACTATCTATCAAGTCCATGTTTTGCTTTTTACATTAAGTTTATCTGGTTTTTTTTCCCCCTGGTCATTCTAAAAACACATTATTCTTCATGGATCTTGCACTTCTCTTTTGCTGGAGTCTTATTCCTGCACACAAAATAGGCATTTATCCACTTGTTGCTTGTTTTTCAGTTCTCAGAAGTAACAAGGAGGGGCTGCACCACTGCCCTTCTCTGATTGCCCTGAGCATAGCAGCAGTCCTGCAAAACAAGAGCTGTATTCAGTTCTCTTCCATGTGCCAGGAGGATTGATCACCACACTGCAGCTTTAGAAGGATTGAGATGAATGGGGGAGGCTTCTTTCTGTCACAAAAACTACTGGAAGGCTCTTGGGTATAGGAAAGCAGGAGGGCCTCAGCTGGGAAGGATGGTGTGAGACAGGCAAAGGAACCCCTCATCGAGAGCCCTTCTGGGGCTTAGGCTCTGGGTAGCGTCAAGCTATTGAGAGCTGGGTATGTATTGGCTGAAATTTGGACCTTGCAGAATTAGATAGTGACTGAGCAGGCAGAAGGTGTGTGAGGGTCTTCATGTCACATCTCTGATAAGATTTAAGCCTGCTTTCTGGGTTTGCTCCTCATTCCTTTATTTTGATTCACTGAACAATAGTAACTATTGGTGTCATTCAGTGTTGTGGGATGTTCTGTGTCAAAATACTCTCCATCTGTAAATAATTGGTATAAAGTAATACCAGCAACTTCAAACTCACCAGCTGGATGTGAAAATTTTGAAACTGTAGTTGATTAAAAACAAGATTATTAACATTGGAATGAGGTCAGCGACTCTATTACCTGTTGGGCTGTAGTCTCACACTGTGAAATTCAGGGGCACTGCTGTCAGCCCTCTCTGCAAAGTTATGCATGCTGCAAGGGTGACAGGGTTGGGGCTAAATGTCTTCTCAAAGGGCAAGAAGGATTTTTATGTAACCAATTTATATTATGTTAAAATAAAGTCAAGATTCATTTAATTGGTGCTGTCATGGAAAATGGAGCCTAGTTAAACACAATTTTTTAAAATTAAAGACTATCACTTCAAATGGTAGCAAAGTATAATACAAATAAAATAATTGTGCTAATGTAGCAACCTAATATATGGTAATAGATATAGAGAAGCTAGAAATAGTCAGGTGTTGTGGAAGGCTATGTCAGAGATAAGATCTCTTATTTTCTGTATCTGTCTGTGTTTCAGATTCTGCGTTTGTTCCATTCTGAGTTGCCATTAGTCTCATGAGCTTGTGGGATGTTTAAAAGACAGTCAGTCTAGTCACAGGATACCAATACATTCAGGAGCAAAAAACAATATGACTTCAGGCTTGTCACAGAGCTTAATCCCTGATTTCAAGGTGTATCATCAAGTAGCATAACACATACAATATTTTAAACTGTGAGTACTCTATTAATGTTATTAGTTAAATAGCTAGCTAGCTACATGTTTTATCATACTCAAATTAGCCATGTCTTGTACATGGATCAGATGTCATTTTGGTACTGCAAAATGGCCTAATATCAATTTAGTTACAGTAATTACCTCTTTCTGATTCAGTGCTGCAGGTGGCCGGGTAAATTACTAATTCTAAAGTGAGGACATGAATCTGAGTACCGCTCCCTTAGGTGCTGGTGCATTTTCATGGTTTCAGATGCTCCTCATGGAGTTGAGCAAAAGAGCGCTTTTTGATTTTTGTGTCTTGGATCAGTGTGCTGACTGGAGCTCCAAGATGCATCCAGTTGCAACTGCCTCAAATGGAAAATAGCCTGGGCATCACAGAAGATTTTTCAGGCTCCTCATAACTGTCTGAATTGCACAGCTCTGTTGCTTTACGCTGTTGTCATCTTTGCAACAACTCACTTGGCTGTAATTCTAGTGTTTTATATGAAAAAGTAAAATCAATGCAATTCTGTAGAAAATATGAGTTACTCTGAATTCATCTAATTGTCAGACATGGCAGAACATAGTGGTTGAAAATTTTAGCGTATGCTAGCAATTATGAGCCCAGACAGAGTCTGTAAGAGAAAGATGGCATATATAATCTGGCTGACATCAGTGAAGTCCACTTGTTGAGGGAGCACTGATTTGTAATAATCTTACAGGATAAGAGTCTAAGTTGTTTATTTATATGCAGTTATCACTTTGAGGATGACAGAAAAGAGATAACTCTTTTAGTTGCAATTAAACATCCTTGAAATCATAAGCTCCACCTCTGACTTGAGCTTCCTTTTCAAACAGCATAGGCAGCTATAAAAACCTATCATTACTTATCAGTAGAGCTGATTAAAATGCCTCAGACTAATCTTTTTTTTCCTCAGTTGTAAATCACTCCTTTTCCCTGTATGACACTGTTGTAGCATAAAGGTTTTTTGTTGTTTTCCCCCAGTAGAATTATGCCACGCAAGTAGTAAAATTGAGTTGGAGTCACATTTTCTAGCCATTTCATTACAGACGTATGTGTAGATCAGCTTTAATGCTCCCCTTCAATTGTTTTTCCTCCTTTTCCTTGCAGACACATTTTTTACCTCTGCTAAATGAAGAAGACTTGGAAGTGTGTTAATTCAGCAAGTGAAGAGCTAATGTGATCTCCTTTTCTTGCTAGTGACTGACTGAGGCCCCCTAGTGCCTGCTACCTTATTTATTAGCAGAGCTGGGAACTAAGGAGTAAAGCATGGTGGTAACTGAGTTTTCCATGCTTGCCCTCTATTTAATTACATGGATAATAGAGGAATAAAGGTGGAAGATGAAAAGGTTCTGTTTTCCAGCGCACATTGCTTTCTAGTTCTTGAAAACTTTACTTATATATTTTTTTTTATATTGTTATCTCTGGGCTCTCTTCAGTGCTCTCTTACCCTTTCTTTTTCCTGCAATTTTCTTCATAATAGAATGGCTCTACCTTAGCTCTCAGAGGAGAGGTAGGAGACTGCATGCCAAGGTCCCCGTCACATACGAAGAGTTTCATTTTGCTCATGCTGGTTTTCATAATCTTTATTGTTTGCTAACTTAGGCAGTGGTTGTCGTATTCACTCTCTGGGCTCCCCCTTGCCATTCTCATTTCCTTTCCCCCTTCTACTTTTAGGAAGGATATTTTGCATTACTTCAACCCTGGCTAACATTTCCTTGTTTGCAGTTAGATGCTCTGTAGGTCATTGCTTCTGTTTATGCAAGAATTCACATCAAAGACTTCATCATTTCTAGTTTAAAGATCATACAGAGATCAAAAATAAGACTTCAAAAGTCAAATCTCCCTGGAAAAGAGCTTACCCTAAATATCAGCAAGAACTGTAAGAGCGAGCATTCAGCAATTCTGAATGTTGTTTTTCTGATTAATGCAAATACTGTTACACCTTCTGTAACTGGACACCATCTAGTGGCAGAAAAAAATACCAAAAATAGTCTAGTTACAGTCATATGTTGATCCAATCTTTGGGGTTTGTTCATATGTTTACAGAGGACAAAGCACTGGTTGAAAGGTCTTGCTGAAGATCTTTCTGTGACCTCTAATAAAAATGTATTAGTTGTAGTGATTCACAAATTCTGTAAACGTGAAGGTCAACTTCTTGTCAAATCATCTATCAGTAGTTTGCAACCCTCCCTAGTGTATTTGTCATTTGAAATGATTTTCCAGTGAATATGATTGAATAAATCTGATGTGTAGAACACAGTAATATATTTTAAATCATATATATTTATATATGATATTTAAATATCATATATTTAAATCATTTCCTTCCTCATATATTTCTTTTTTCTGCTCTGATTTGAAAATATGGATGGTTTGAGTGCAGTGCTTAGGAACAACTTTGCAAGGAAAGTTCTGTTTACTATTCATAATACACGTTCTCCCTAATATTTGCTTAAAAACTCATGCATTCAGCTGCTCTCAAGTTAATGGAGAGTGCAGTGTCAAAGGAGGCAAAAGGCAGTTTGGTGTTTGGTTTGGTTGTTGTTTATACAAACAAACATTTGTCAAAGCTTTAGTGTCTTTTGCCCTTTTTCTGCAGATAAGATGTTACTTTTTTGACTTCTACTTGCTTGCATGCTGCAAACAGGATGTTAAGTGACTCACTTTGTGTTGGCTACACCACATGATGGATGAGTTGTGGAGGCTCTAGGCCGATGGTATGGATTCCTTGTGTTGCCCTTTTCTCAGCAGAATACAACCACATTCAAAAATAAGGAACAAATCTCAACTTTAGTAATACACAGCTGTTAAATATTGTACAAGGTACTAAAATT